AAGGACATTTTAATCAGGGTTTTTTTTTTTTTTTTAAATCACATTTGAAGTTCCGGTAATACCACTTGAAGCACACGCTTTATCAAAGTAATGTGGAAGTATCCAAACACTTAAATCTTTTATTAATTGAAAATAATACCTTACATTTATATAGCATTTTACTGTTGTTGAAGCAACTTCACATACTCCATTTCATTTTATTCCTCACAACAGCCCTGTGAGGTAGGCTGAACAAGTTACAGTTATTTTATGTAAGGCAATGGAGGCCCAAGGACGAGAAATGATTTATGTAGAGGTCACAGATCTTGTATATGGTAGAGTTCAGGTAATTAATTTTAAATACTTTAGAAGAAATGAAGCCAAGCTACCTTTTACATTATATCCAGAAATTTTAAAGACTAGTGGTTTTTAATATAAATTACTCTAAAACTTTAGCTATTATATATCTTATAGTATGAATTAGTTATAAATTTGATTTTAAAGAGTCTCCTTTTTAAAAGGTAAATTAGACTCAGCACTTTGATACCTTAAAGATATTGGAAATGTTAAAAAAAAATTATGCATTCTCATAGCCCTTAGGCTCTCCAAAAAGTTCCAATACTAATAAAATGCTTTTTACCAATCACTTATAATTTGACTTTCTTTAAAATTGGTTCAAACTTAAGAAGTTCCAAGCCAAAGCAAACACATTCACCTACCTTCTGCCCTACATACTATGAAATCCTCTACATGTCCATTCCCGAGGACTAACTTATATTGAACGGGTACCATTAAGAAAATATATCAGTTTAAACTAACATGGTTCAAATGACTATGATTCAAAAGTCAGTACCTTATATTGACCCAGAAATAACAAATACTGTTTTAATTTAATAATCGAGTAGTCTGAGGAGAGAAGTACTATGGTAACCTCTGGTATTTATTTATAAGCCAAGACTAACCTTTATATGGCATGTCCAACAATATCTTTTCAACAAAAACAATATATACCAAATGTAATCCATTTAAACTCCAAATTACTCAAAAAGCTTACAGTATTTACATTAATCAAATATTCCAGGTAACAAAGCTATCATATGTGACATACAAGGATCACAAATATTTGCATAATGTGAATACTGTAAGATACACACAAAACTAAAACTATACTGAACATGAGGTAATCTTTCTGTGATGATTAAAGAAACATTCGTGATCTCTTATAATGCTCCAGGACTGGCATTATGAAGTGTACATTTTGGTTTAAAATAACAAATAACTTTATGGTTGCTTGGATGTTGAGTAAATTTATGCTGACCATATTCTTCCCTAAAAGAATATATCCAGTGTAAAAATAAAATCAAGAAAGAAACCTTTCCAGACTCACTTTATGTGCCTATATAAAAGTAACTCATATTATATGCAGTTACTTTGAATTTTTTATAAACTATAACAAATTTACTTTTTAAAATTTCTGATTTATTAGCAAAACATTGTTTTTAAGATGCAAACTTTGTCACACCACTCAAAAGCTGGAAAACTATATGCACAGTAAATCAAATTTGGAAATCTGAATACAAAGTATGACTGCCATATCACAGACACTTAAATATTTGTTGTATGAATTAGCCAGTGAATGAACACTGACACAACAAATATGGGGTTTTTAAAAAGAATTATTATGATAACTTGAAAATACAGTCCTTAGTTTTTTTTAGTCTGGAATCACACATTTTACAGTAAGAAGTCTATACTGTCCTCTTCTAAAATTAATACTCTTTGAAATAACCATTTTCCATATATATCCTTTTCCATTTTTCCCCTATGTTTCCAAAAGAAACAACTAAAAATATATAAGTGACTATAACTTTATGGAAAAGGTATATAGAGAAAAACTAATCATCCTAGGTAAGTCATGAAACAGAGTATCTTAGCCTAATTAAAAGATTTCATTACCAATTATTTACTTCTATTATTTATACCAACAAGGATCAGTCACAAAAAATTCAATTATACATGATACTGTTCATGCTTTAATTTCATAAATGAGTAAATAAAACCAAGCCAATATGTCTCTTTAGATGATAACATGAGGAAAAATCACTGTTTGCAGAACAAAGCAGACCAAGTCTAGCTGTACAGCAGCAGTTCACGGCTTGTCAAAATGGCACAGACGCCATCAATTAAACCCATGTACAGACAGGCACACCCGCCCCTAATACTTTCAGTTTGTTTACCTATACCTAGAATATTCAAAGAATCATTGTATATTTAAATTTCTATGTGCATTCAGTTATTAAATGCTTGGCACATACATATTTACCAAAAGTTGAAGATGTATCGTGACATGGTCAACCCAGAGAGTCAAAATGAATTGTAAAAAAATTCTTTTTCTAAAGTGCTTAAGGCAATTCCTTCATTTCTTTATCCAGTTTACTAAAACTGGTTTGGGATTCAGCTGCTAAAAGAGAAATGCAACACCAAATGCATGTATTTATAAAACATAATTTTTGACACTTGTGATACATCCATTACTGTCACTTCTCTTGCATTTCTTTTACTTGAAAGCAATCATGTTTGACCTGTCAAAACAAAGAGTAAATAAACCAATAAAGAATGTTTGAAAGGGTATACCAACTTTCCACAATGTATTAAATGACCAAAAGAGCTCAATATTTTTTAATTCAAATGTCAATGACAATGTTATATATTATGGTCAAGTTAATAGTTACCTTAATTTGAGACTATTTAAATAGGCACTACAGTTGTTTATTTTCCAGTTTGAAATGAGGGTGACAAACTTGCTCCAGTTTAACTTAACACAAACAAACTTAAAACAACTAAACTAAAAACCCATACATTTTGCTCTTTATTTTTAGAGATCTTTAAGAAGAAGCATAGTAAGAGGAAAACCTCAGATTCTTATTTTGAAGTAATCATCATATTACTTCAAATGAATTTTCCAAATGATTATTCGAAAATTTTATATGAAGGGTTTCAAATGATGGCATGAGCACAGGAAAGAATCATATGCACTCCTCCAGCCCCTGATTAATATGTCCTTTTCCCCATGCCCCTGCAATAGAAGGCTCTCACCAGTACAACATAATCTTCTCTGACTTAAATATCACTTGACACTGCATGGGGAATGGAGCAAGAGCATGCTTAGAGGAAGAAGGCACTGAATTAAAGAGAAGACACAATTACATAAGACATAATAGTAAAAAATTTTATACAAGAACTTCTGGCTTTTTCTGTGTCATTTTTGCTAATATGCATGTGTAACTGTTCACATAAAGCAGCTTCACCACTAAATTACTGCTTTCAGGTTTGACTCATGAAAGAGAATGATAATTTCCTGTTTCCTTAGGTCCTGGAAAAACCTCGCTGTAGAGAACAGAACATCCAAAAATTACTTTCAAAATCTCTACGAGGAACAAAAACCAAAATTATATTTGTTTGGAGAATCAAAAGACTATCTATTGACGTATTTCATTCTCTAGACCGCCTTATAATCTTTAAAGATTTTATTTATTTTATTTTTTCCCCCCAAAGCCCCAGTGGATAGTTGTGTGTCGTAGCTGCACATCCTTCTAGTTGCTGCATGTGGGACTCGGCCTCAGGATGAACGGAGAAGTGGTGCCTCGATGCGCACCCGGGATCCGAACCCGGGCCGCCAGCATCGCAGCGCGCGCACTTAACCACCAAGCCACAGGGCCGGCCCAGACTGCCTTATAATCTTTAAAATTACCAAAATGTCATAGATAATGGTGCAGATATGAATGTCCTCTGGAAAAATAAAACCCAGTTCAAATAAATTCCTTATTTAGATTTGTTTTACCAATGAACAAAACATCATATCAGTAAGCAGTAAACTTTAAAAGAGAATGAGGTATTCCTATTCCACAGGTCTTTCTGTAGAAAGAAACTCAAATGTAAATAGCAATGGTCATTTCTTGGGGAAAAGTTGTCATAGGACAATATACTTAAAACGAAAGAAAGTCAACATGAGAAAGTAAAGGTTCCAAAAATTAAGGAATATACAAATTCAGCCCTCTTTAAAATGCTCAAGGACTTCTTAAAACACTGTAATTACAACTTTCAGTTTGGCCCAAAAGACTTGTGTTACAAATTTTAATCAACTTATTAAAAATAGATAGTTCTGCTTAATAACCATGGGTTTTACTCATTTCCCTAAGTTTGGGAAAGATTATTCTATGTTGATTTTTGCAAGAATTACACCTCCTTAGAAAGCAAATGAAGGTAGCTAAAGGAAAATAACCTCTGAATAGTTATGTTTGAAAAACTCATGTGTCAAATAAGTCAGAGATATGTAGATTTTTTTCAAAACACTGTTTAAACCATTCCATATCTTATTAAAAAGCAGATATAAATGATTTCAGTAAAGAATAGTTTTAGGCACCTCCCTTTATAACCTATCCTTCTTAGATAAAACTTGGGTGTGTAGGTTTTCCTACCTTCTATATAACTTTAATAAACTTTCATTCCAACCAGAAACGTTAAAAATCAGTAGAATTATTATCAGTTATTACCAAAATCAAGTGGGAATTTTACCAAAGTAACTATTAAAGGTTGTATTAAACCAGACGACAAAATCAGAAAATATAAAGCTTTTAAAAATATCTTACCCATCATCCAAAATGATGGAATGAAAAGAAGTCTAATTAAACAGGGCAACATATAAAGAATATCCCTTTGTGTATGTCTAGAAACTCTTCCTATCCACTCTCTATTTTGAGTTGTAACCACAAGAGAAATATCACGATATTTGGAAAAGAGAAAACGATATTCAATCTAGTCAATAAACAAAAGAGGATAATTTAGCAAAACTCAACTTATTTATAAAAGGGGAAAAATAAACCATTGTAAGAAAAACTTTCTAGCATCCCCAACCAATTATTTGAATTTTTAGAAACACTTAAGAGCACTGCATATTTTTAAAGCTTCAGTGTAAGAACTAAATAATAGGTAATGATGAGATAAAAAAAGAGTAATGATGAGATAAAAAAAGAGTAAGTATAGAAGAAAGAAGGCAAGATTTAAATGCTTTTCACCTCAGGCCCCAGGGCTACCGTATGTAACTAAACATATTAGAAGAGCCAAAGTAATCCAAGAAAAGCAAAAATGAGCTTCTATGTAACTATTTAAACACTGCCTTTTTTCCCATTTACTCTTCAAACATTAGTTTCTCGCTTGATATCTGCTTGCTTCTATGATATTGCACAGTAGATTCCTGTGAATGCTTCATACTAGATGCTTAACACTAAAAGACTCCAGGCCTTAAAGCAGAACATAGCAAATCTGATTTCCACCACTCAAGTTTCTGTGATTAGTAACTCCACAGAAAAGCCACCCAATCAAACGGGGGGGTAAACGTATTCTGAGTAGGCATTACTGGGTAACATTGTTCAGGCTGCTAGTGGAACCAGTCATTCCATTTTCACTTTTCTGAAGTGTTCTCACAGCACTTGGAACCTGCATCCCAGTACTCAAAGAAAGTCCACCACACCAAACCTAAGAAAAGACAAAAAGAAAGCTTCAGTCAGATTTCAAATCAAATTAGAACTTAAATGATCCTTAAATTTCTTTCCATTTGAAAGGCAAAATGCCACATCTGTGAACATCAACAAGTTCCAAACTGATAACCTTCATATTTGAACTGAGGAGAAGTGGAAAGGTTAACAACTCAAGAGTCTTTTAGAACCAGAGAGGCCAGAGGAAGTCTTTGTGGTAGCAGAACCCACTGGAACTGCACACAACAGGGAACTAAGAGCTGCAGAAATTTAGAGATTAAATTAGATTAATCTAGGCAAAAGACACTGGCGATCATTATTGATGCTAACCTTCACTATTCAAGAGAAGTGCACAAAGAGCCAACCTCCTTACCCCAATTACTGCTTTAGATGTTGATAATGAGGTGTGGCCTGAGACTGTAGGCATCTAACATCCCTCTGTTCACAGAGTAAAATCCATTAGTTTCTTCCCTAACTTCTTAACAATAAGAACTCTTTTATAATTCTTTAAGAAGGACTCCTGAGAAAATGCAAATGGCAATATCCAGATACACTTGCCATATTCTATTAATTATCATAAATGTGAACGAGTTCATGAAAGATAAAACTGTTTTATTGTGAACAAAGCAGCTATCCTTCAATAAAGTCAACAATAACTGATTTAGAGTCAAGAGAATTAAAATATGAAAATATGGATCATTTAAACTATCATCAACTGCCATGTATGTGGCAGACACAAGCTTAAGGCTGGGGAGAGTCTAGAAATTGTTTAAGTATTCCCACCTTTGACTATATCCTAAAGCGTTCAGTATTTACTAAGTAACTATAGTACTGTACCAAAGAATCTACTGACCTGTGCAATTTATAACTATATAATTAACATTCTAAATTTTTAAAAAAGCAGGTTCAGTAATGACAACTACCAAAACAAAAAAGCAACTCTCTAATTCTAAAACTACTTACTATATTATTTTTTCGGAAATTATTTAAGCTATTCACACAGATATTTACTCAAAATATCTACCGCAAAAGTAGAAGGGCAAATCAATGGAGAAAGGTTAGCCTTTTTCAGTAAGTGGCACTGGAACACCTGGACACCCATATGCTAAAAAACAGATCTCAAACCATACCTGGTAGCATATACAAAAATTAACTCAAAAAGGATCATAGACCTAAATGTAAAACCTAAACTGTAAAACTTCAAGAAGAAAACATAGGAGGATATCTTTGCGACCTTGAGTCAGGCAAAGCATGATCCATAAAAGAAAAAAAAAAAAATTAATAAACTAGACTTCATCAAAATGAAAAACTTCTCTTCGAAATGTTCTGAAAATGAAAAAAACCACATACTGGGAGCAAATACTTGCAAAACATTTATCTGATAAAGGACTCATATCCAGAATACATAAAGAAATCTTAAAACTCATTACTAATAAGAAAACAACCCAATAAAAAATATGAGCAAAAGATTTTAACAGACATTTCACCAAAGAAATTATACAAATGGCAAATAAGCACATGAAAAGATGCTCAATATCATTTTTCCTTAGGAAAATGCAAATTAAAACCACAGTGAAATACCATTACACACCTACTAAAATGGCTTAGCAACAACAAAAAATCTGACAATATCAAATAATGGCAAGGATCTGGTGAACTCTCATATATTGCTAGCAGGAATGCAAAAGTGGTACAGCCACTTTGGAAAACACTGTGGTAGCTTCTCATAAAGTTAAACATATACTTTCAACGTGATCTAGCAACTTCACTCCTAGGTATTTACCCAAAAGAAATGAAAACAAATATTCACAAAAAAACCCATCTATGAATGTTTATAGTGCCTTTATTCATAATTGCCCAAACCTGGAAAGAACCCAAATGTCCTTCAACTGGTGAATGGATGAATAATGTGTGGTACATACATATATGGAACACTACTCAGCAATAAAAAAAAGGGACTACTGATGACACAACAACATGGATGGATTTCAAATGCATTATGGTACAGAACCAAAAGTCTACATACTACACAATTCCTTTTCTATGATAGTCTGGAAAAGGCAAAACTATAGGGACTAAAAACTGGTTAGTAATTGCCCGGACTGGGTGTGACAGGAGAGGTCCATTACAAAGGAGCATGAAGGAATTTTCCAGGGTGATGGAATGTTCTGTCTTGTTATGGTGGTGGTTATACAACTGAATGCATTTGTCAAATCCCATAGAACTGTACACTACCGTAAATTACACCTCAATAAACCTAACTTTAAAAAAAAATTAATCTTATATACAAAAAATTTAACAGTCATTTACTTAATTAAAAAAGCAAGCCTCCAGGGGGCCAGCCCAGTGGCGTAGTGGTTAAGTTCGCATGCTCCGCTTCAGCGGCCCAGGGTTTACGGGTTTAAAGCCCAGGTGCAGACTGACACCGCTCCTCAAGCCATGCTGTGGCAGCATCCCACATACAAAACAGAGGAAGATGGGCACAGATGTTAGCTCAGGGCCAATCTTCCTCACCCAAAAAAAAAAAAAAAAAAAAAAACAAAAGCAAGCCTTCGTGGCCAGCCCAGTGGTGTAGTGGTTAAGTTCATGTACTCTGCTTCAGTGGCCCAGGGTTCACAGGTTTGGATCCCGGGCATGGACCTACACACCGTTCTTCAAGCCATGCTATGGCAGCATCCCACATATAAAGTAGAGGAAGATTGGCACCGATGTTAGCTCAGGGCCAATCTTCCCCACCAGAAAAAAAAAAAAAAAAGCAAGCCTTCAATGAAGGAAAAAAACCAATTTTAACCATTTTGAAAATACATTTCCTAAAGCATCTTACAACATTTACTAATGTAATTATAGTTTGATTATTTGGAATGAAAAACAATGAACATCTACCTGACATATCTACCTGAGATAAACTCAAATTAAATATGAAATCTACCCTTTTATAAAAATATATCTAAGACTTAGGGAAAAAGATAACTTTGCATTCTATGTGGCAAAAAATTTGTCCCTGATTGACCAATTTGGAAAACAGCCAAAAATACATAATACAGTAGCAGTTTGTGGCAAAGTGAAAAAATAAATAAAAAATAACCCTTCCAATATCTGTAAGTATTTTTCTATGAACAATAACCTTATTCATGAATCACTTATACTTTTTAATGAAAAAGTAAGAGTCTTGGTTATTAGCATTGTTTTAAACTTAAGTTTAAAAGTTTTAGGGTATCTAGAGGAAATAATCACTCTCAATTGTGAGATTTAAAAGTACTCTATTTTAAACTCACAAATACCCAGAATACTTTCTCCTCGTAGTTGGAGGTGATGATGGAAAATCACACGTAACAAAACATTCCACCAAGTCTAGGGGAAATATACCATCCTGATTTGTAGAAGTAGCCTCCAAATTAAGGAATGTTCTACCCAGAATAATGAAGATCTTAACTGGGTTGCAGAACTCCCCACAGTAGCCTAACTTTATAAAGAAATGCAAAGGATTAAGAAGTTGTGAGAAGACATAACATTTGCTTAATAAAAAAATAAATTCAAAAACCAAGTTTCATTTTATGTGGAGAATCATGACTTGTAATAAATCATGTAATGATTTGTAATCATGACATGTAATAAATCAACCTGAAATTGAGTAGTCCTGAAATAATATGTGTGTGTATAGAACATATACACATTCAGCCTACCACACACAGTCATCTAATATTTTACAAAGATGACACTGCACTGCAATGGAAAAAGGATGATCTTAATAACTGGTCCAGGAATAAGCAAATATCCATATGGAATTAACGAATTTATCCTGACCCCAACTTCATACCAAACATATCAATTTTACATTGTTCTTGTATTGTAAATGTAGTCTATGTCTAAATGTACAAGAAAAGCCTTTAGAAGAAAACACAAGAATGTCTTCATGACCCTGGGGGTAAAGAAAGATTTCTTAACAGAACACAAAAAGTGATAACCATAAATGAAAAAATTGATAAATTGAGCAATATTAAAATAAACAACTTTTGTTCATCGAAAGACACCAATAAGAGAGGGAAAAGGAAAGCCAGAGTGGAGAAGGTATTTGCAATACATACATCTGGCAGGGAACTCAGACTACATAAAGAACTCTTAATCGATCAATAAGAAATAGGAAGAGAACCCAATAGAAATACAAGCAAAAGACCTGAACAACCATTTCACAAAAGGATATACTCAAACAGTCAATAAACACACAAAAAGGTGTTCAATAGCACTAGCCGGCAAAGAAATGCAAATGAAAACCACAACGTAATGTATCATACCCACTAGAAGGACCAAAACTTAAAAAAAGACAATACCAAGTGTGGATAAAGACGCAGAGGAACGCAAACTCTCATACGCTGCTGGTGGTAAATTAGTATAACCGACAACTTTGGACAACCCTACTACAGTTAATTACGCACATGCCATATGATCTAGCAACCCCAATCCTAGTTATATACCCAATGGAATACATTTACCAAAAGACACGAACAAGAATATTCATAACAGTTCTATTTGTAAATGTCCCTAAATGGAAACCACCCAAGTATCCAACTAAATTAGAATGGGTAAATTATGATATAGTCAAATAATGGAAAACCAGATGAGAACAAGCGCACTACGACCACACAGAACAACATGGATAAATCTCACAAACACAGAGTTGAGCCAAAAAGATATTGTAGGATTCCATTTATTCAAAGTTGAAAAGATGGCAAAATGAATTTATGGTATTAAAACTCAAGATAGTAACCACTTTGGAGGAGGCCCCATTAGGGACTGGAAATGAGCACATTTCCAAGCTTCAAAAGGGAGCTTAAGAGGTTCTGGTAATGTTCCATTTCTTGATCTAGATGCTGGTTTACAAAAATGAGTGCAGTCCGATGAAGATTCATCAAACTGCATGCCTATGATTTGCATACTTTTTATCTTTTGTGAGGAAGATTGGTCCTGAGTTAACATCTGTTGCCAGTCTTCCTCTTTTTGCTGAGGAAGACTGGCCCTGAGCTAACACCTGTGCTCGTCTTCCTCTATTTTTTTTTATGTGGGACGCCATCTCCGCATGGCTTGATGAGCGGTGCATAGGTCCGTGCCCGGGATCCAAACCTGTGAACCCCGGGCCACCGAAGTGGAGCATGCAAACTTAACCACTATGCCACCAGGCCAGCCCCATGATTTGCATACTTTTATGTATTAACATTAACTTCAATAAAATATACCAAAAATATACAACCACAGATTTGGGAGAGGTGGACTGGGGAAAGGGAGAGGATTATGAGGAAAACATAAGATATTCTGCTTCCCAAATATACACCATAGATTGTTCTCCTTAAAGTTGCCAAATCAAATAAAATATAAATTAGGTACTAACCATGAAACCAGGTAGTACTGGCTGAGTAAATTTTGTCTTAAAGGAATACAACAACTGTTTTGAGTTTGCATCATAGAAAGAAAGTAGACCTAAAAGGAAGGAAACAAAAAAAGCCTAATTTATCATACAAAAAATTATAACATCTAATTAAGTCTAACATATAATCATGCATAAAAGTAATAACTAAATGCATATTTTGGTATTCATTTTTTTCTTACAAATTGTGAGGACTATATTTAGTAATTCTCACTTGAAAATCAGTAGTGAACATGCTTAAGAAAAAGCCCAAATCCAGTTTTCTTTGGTTTTCAAGATCTCCATAGTGCTTCCATATCCAGCACTATTCTATTCAATGTAAACTATTTCTTTATTTTATCATTATTTAACAAATGTTTTCCCTAGCCGAGTAAAAACCAAGGCTATTTCTTCCTCATTTTTATTATAACCAGCCTCTCTACCCAAATCCTATCACCATTTAAGGTTTACTCTACTAACCCTTGTCTGCTAACTACTTGAAGCCATACTCATACTTCAGTCTCTGAAATCACAGTATAGTTATCACTGCTTCAGCTCTGTTAATTTGTAAAGTCCCCTCACAGTTTGTCTTTCAACATGATCACGCAACTAAACTCTGTCTTTCTGACCACCTAACTGTCCAACCTGATGGCCTCCTTACAACTGTTATCACCTCTTGAAACTCCTCTTCCATGACTATTCTCTTGGTTTGTACCCTAATCCTGAGGATATCTTCTGCCTCTTTTTCTCCTATTCTAAATGTAGGCGCTTGTCCAGGCTCTGTTTCTCTCCACAATGCTTCCTTAATAAATCAGCTTCCACCAAACAGAGAAGAACAGAAAAGAAACTAACATTTATGCCTACTATTAAAGCCTTAGGTGCCTTATATATATTACCTCAAAATATTAAGCAACCCATATATGATCACAAATTTAGTAATTGTTAGACAATTAGTTAGTTGTTCTGTGCAATCTTCAGTAGCCACTCTGTGATGCTGTCTCTAATAATTAGCTTCAGCTCTACTTCTCTTCCAAGTTCTAGCACTGAATTTCTAAATATTTGTCAGATGTGCCACATGGTTGTCCTGCTGACATCTCATCTTTCCCCAAGACTCTGTTTCCTATCCTGTTGATGACACTAGCATTCTCTTGATCACACCAGCTGGAACCCCAGAGTCACCTTCAACTCTTCTTTGTCTCTCCCTCCAATCCACATTTAGTTACCAAGTCCTATGAATTCTACGTTCACACCATCAAATCCATTCTTCTTGATTCCCCACTGCCCAGGCCCTTGTTACTACTAATCACTCAACAAACACTTATTAAGGACTTACTATGCAAAAAGCACTGGCCAGGCAATAAGGATATAATACTTAAAACAGACATGGTCTTGCCTACATTGCTTAAAGACTGCCTCCTGAAAACTCTTACACTATCTTTGCAATCTGTTCCATGGTTAGCCATTAACTCTCTAATATGTCTAAAATTAGATTATCATCATATAACTATAGTTTTCTAAAATGTGCAGAAACTCCCCTCCCTCAACTACTAAAAAGAAATTAGCCTATTACTATTTTTCAAAGCCCTCAGAATCTGATTCCATTTTGCATTACAACTTCTCCTTTCTGTACCCTTTGCTCTGAGATAAAAATCACACTTTTCACTACCGTCTTTGAGGAACCACAAAGTATGGGAAAGGAGACAGAAGAAGATAAGCAAATGCTTACCTTGGTAATTGAAAAGGAAAAAAAAATGTGTGCCAATAAATTTATCATTTATTCTGAGGAAAATTATTTATCTGATTCAAAGTCAATAAATAAAAAAGAATGCAGCAAAACTGACATGTTATCACTAAACATAAATCAAGCCAAAATTAACTTGTTTCTTTTTTTGTTTGAGTAACTAGGTCGACAGCTCATAGAATTATGTGGACACAATGTTACTTAAAATGGTAAAATTGTGTTTTATTAGCATAAAATATCAACTTGGAAAGAAGCATCTAGGGAATTACTTTTGTTCCCTAGTTCAATAGTATGTCATCTTCAAAATTTTTATAACTATTTAGATGACAGTACAGAAGATACTTTTCAAATACTCAATTCAAAAGCTTAAAGAAATTTTGCAAAAGATAAATAGCAAGTTAATTTTTAGATGATTTTAACAGAAGGGAAAGCTTGATCAAATCTATTAAGATGAAACTTATGGACAAATGTAATATTCTTCATTTGAGTTATAAACAATAAAAAACAACCCTAAACTGCCTAATATAAGAGGAAAAAGACAATTTGAGAGAACTCCATGAAAAAAGATCTAGTGCACTATGTGGCTACAAGCTTAATATAGGTCAACAGTGCTATTAAGTAAAATAACTAGAAATTGTGCTGTCAAATCACTGTCCTATGATGGTCGGAAGTTGTGTTCTACTTTGAGAATCAATCTTTTAAGAAATATACTGACACAGTATACAACCATAGGAGATTACAGGGGTTTGGAAAAACTAACTTGTAAGGAACAGCTAATGGTACAGAGAATGTATAATCTGGAAAAACAGGGCAAGAGAAGCAATGCTAGTAGTTTTTAAACAAATAAGGATTACCATGTAAATGTGGATTAGGGAACATAATTCTGTGTTTCTCCAGATGACAAAATTTAAGAGCAACAGTCTCAGAAGTTATTGGGAGACAAAGTCAGTCAATTTAAGAAAAACCTTCTAACCAATGCTATCCAACAATGAAACAGGCTGCCTTCTAAGACAATAAGCTCCACATAAAAACAGTTCTTCAAGCACAGGACGGCAACTACCTGCAGACATAATATAACAAGGATTTTATACTGTGTGGCAGATGGACTCAGTAATTTCTACGGTGTACTCCAACGGAAAAAATCTGACTCCACCACTCTTTACAGGTAATAAAATTAGCAAAATCTTTCTTTCAGACTTATTTAGTATATTATAGATGAGTGCGTTTGTAGGGCTGCAGGCAGACATCACACACCCTTCCTGTCAATTCTAGAGCTGAAATTATGCTTGTGATCAAGTCTTAGCAGGTCAAAACACCCTTATCACAATACTAATAGAAATTCTGTACAGATATTATCAGTGAAAGTACTGAAATACAAGCAACTATGATGAAAGGACTTATGAGAAAATCAGGAAACTTACCCCCATCAAAATCACAAAATACACCTATTCTCTCAGGAACAGTAACATCCAAGGCTTTGACTTTATTATTATGCTTTGCTGAAAATGTGTTTTGTAGCCAGTTGTTGACATGGATACACCAACTAGTGTTTGTCTTTCCTAATTGGTCAAATTTCCCCAAAGTCTTGTATGCTACTCCTACACTGTAGGATTTACAATCCTTCTGGGCCTTGACCTCCCAATAATGTTGTCCACTTTCAATAGCAGTGTCTCCTACAAAAGATCAGAAAGGTAAATTTGACTCTTACCTCTTCCTTATGAGTCACATAGATTTTCACCTCTCATCCCACAAAATGGCACAAAAAATGTGATTCAGGAGAATGATCATATTAACACACAGACACTAAATCGAGAGTATTTGCTATAACTTTACTTGTATATTACTAATTTTTCTGAATATAAAAGGCTTCAGAACTTTTCTTCCTTACTATTCTCTCGAGAGTTATACATATATGTGGAGCACTGTGTAAACTGAAGTAGAGTTTTAAACATATCGATAATAAGACAATTTGAAAATCCACTGAAGTAATTAGGCCTCAAGAGGGAAAAACTTCAGCAAAACATTCACTCAATACACAGGCAGCCACTCCAGGTCTAAGTGAGTGGAAATCCACCAGTGTGACTGTGATGCCTCTAATCTGAGAGAACGAAGAACTACTACGTTTATCCTACCCAGCACTGTGTATGATTCCCCAGTAAAACGATCTCTGCTGCCTCTTACTGCTGGTGGCCTGGAGCCCACAGATGTCCGTTTAGGGGACGGTGTACCACTTCTATATAAACAAGAACAAAAAGAAAAACAAATATTCTGTGTTGTCAATGCTTCACAAACTAAAATTACAAATCAGGAACCTTTGAAAAGATTTCTAATTATGTTGCACAAACAGCACCATTTAATTTTATCTGAATTATTATTAAACAGAGTTGTCAATTATAAACACTTAAAAAGTCATCAATACAAAGCAGGCTAAAAACACGAACATCATGCAGACTGAGCCAGGCTTATACAAAGGACACACAGTTGAAATAAGAAACAATGCCAAAATGAGACACGACAAAAAGGAAAAAAAAAAAACCTAAAGAAAAAAAAAGAACTCAAGAAAGATAATGGATTATAGCTTTCATTTCTTGCAGTTAAATTTAAATAAAAGCAAAGGCAAAAGTAGGTTTATTATAATCAAAACTAAATAACCTTTTTTATAAGCAGTAAGTATTTTTGTTCTGGACCCTTTCTTCTTAAAAGAAGAAATAGAAATTGTCCAAATCCATGCACAGGATAATATCATGTATGATAAAGCATTTCTCGTACTACAATGGACAAGATCCAACCTGACCTCCCTTTATATGAAATTAGGCCTTTCACTAACTCTCAAAAACTCAAAATATATCAAATCCCACAGATATCTAAAAAATAACATTTGAATTATATTGAATCACTGCATTTAAAAAACAAAAATTTATAACTTACCAGTAGTAAAGAAATAAAGGGAAAGCACGGAGAAAAGAAAAATAGACATAACTATTGAGCATGTCAGTTTAAATTTCAGAGAAAAGTTAAATAAGGAGATCTCTTCCACTGCAGCATTCTAGACTTCCAACTCTAAGAACATTTTTGCAAGAAGTATAACAGCTTTTATGGTCTTATGTCAAACATGATCTACATGTTTTACCAGCTTCCCAAATGATCTTTCTGCAACCCAATTCATCTTGTTCACTGTTACCAGATAAACCTTACTGATTCTCCTACTTTAAAATCTTTAAGTAGTCCCTTACTGCCTGCAAACGACTTAGCTTGGCATTTCAGGTTCTTCTTGATTTGGTCCCAACCTGCTTTTCTAGCCTTCTCACCCACAGAGAGCACTATCCACCTCAATGTACCAGCTAAAGTGTTCCTTAAACTCACACAATCTGCTTCAGTGCATTTCCTCTTGTTGCTCCCTCTTTCACTGCAAGTCCAAATGCCACACATTCTTCCACTTCCTTGAGAACCAGCCTAAATACCATTCCCTTAATGAAGGTCCCTCAGATCCTACCAGGCTAAATAACTCTTCTGAGTAGTCCAGCTCCGGGCCAAAATCCTACGTGTGACCTTTCAGTCCCAACCACAGGCAATTATAAAGGCTTTTACTGGCAGGCCTAGGGGGCTGCCTTCCCCACAGGGGACTTGGTGCACAGCTAGTCCACTGTGGAGGGAGTTGCAATCGTCCCCATCATCCCATCCTCATACGCATAACTGCATTCCTAGCTTAGGCACCTCTGTTCAGAGGCCCCCTTATGGCATGGGGGCCCGAGCTGAGACTCTTTTCAGCTCCCTCTGGGGATACCTCCATAAAGGGGGCAGGGGTAGGGGGAGTAGTCTGAAGGTATTTTTCCTCACTCTGTCTCAATACTTTTCCACTCCTAACCTTTCCCTCCTTGCCATCTTCTTGGCCCTCAGGTCCATAAATCACTAGCCAGAGCCTTCTGTAGGGGGCTTCCTCAGCAGTGAGATGATCCTCCAGATATCCTCCATGTGCAACCTGCTCATTTACCTGACCCTCACCCAGCGCCATTCTGTCGGGAAGAATGGAACACTGGGTAGACCTCAATAAAAAACAAACAAACAAAAAAATGGAACACTGGGAAAGCTAGCACCCTTTTTTTGGTGGCTTCTTGCTTATAGTATCACAGTAAGTGAATAAAGGCTTGATTGTTAACTTTCAGTTTCGCTCATTGTCCTAACTGACCACTTCAACCCCCAGCAGCTCAGGACATTTTTCTTCCCCTAAACTTCTTTATTCACACTTACCATTACACATAATCTCTACACTTTGTATTACCGTTATCTGTATATAGATATATATCTCATCTACATAAGTTAGGGCAAACTTCTTGAAGACAGAGACAGTGTTTATCCCTAAAAACTCCACAACATCCATTTGACATCCTACAGTGAACAAATATTTATGGAAAGAATAAATGTATATAACAAATTTAACATTTAACATACAAAATACCCTTAAAAGGAGGGAAGGGAGAAAGAGAAATAATATGATCTGAAATGCTAAATACAAGCAGTCTAAAAATCTCCAAGTGATCAAATGAAACGTCACAGACTCTATTAAATCCAGCAGCATTTTATAATTTATAATACACTATGAAATTACTTTCACCAATAATGAGCAAATAAACTAGAAAAAAGAGAGGAAGATAATTTTGAAAAGAGAACACATTCTGATTTCTGGTAAAGATATGTGGTATCTTCAAATTAGCACATTATTACTCATGAAATTTGAATTGATTCATCTTTCTGGCACTGTCCTAATAATTTCAGTAATGACCTTTGTTTTTTATCCTTGATGCTTTTGAAACTGCATGATTATTATAAAATACAGAACACTTCAAACTTGCCTCGTTCCAAATACAAATAAAAGCAAAGCTGTAATGTTAGGTATATTGAATACAGCACAACAAGAAAGATGCCAGGTATAAGTAAATGCAGAAAAAAATAAGAAGAGGGAAAATAATTCAAGAAAGACTTTAAAGCAGAGCTTACTGTTTTGTTATCATATACAATGTAATCCAAATAATATGCAGCATACTATAATGCTGTAAATTCAAAACATAAGCTACCAATACAGACAGTCTACACAGAGCAGTATTTTAGCTTATGAAGGCTGCTGCAATGGCTTCGGCTTATTGGTTAAAAGAAAAAATTAAAGTTATTCAGCCAAGCTAGATATACTAAGTCCTAGAACTAGACAGACATAGATCATCACCTTGTATGTTTCTTCAGTGAAGTAACATGGACACTGTCAGATAAAAATAGGTAACTGTTAAGAGACTGCTTTACAACTCAAATTTAACAGCTTATAATCAATTAGATCAAAAGCCCGCTGAGAAAATTATTTTTTTATTCACTGTTGCAACTCACAGTGATATTACCTTATTTCAGTTTGAGCAAAATTTTCCTCCGTTAAAAAAAAGAGGTCCCCATACTTTGAGACTACCTAAATAAGTCTGACGACAACAAAAGGTCCCAAGCCTGCCTCTTTGGTTCATAAGGTTGCTAATCAGGGGCAAGACACTGGGGTTGTACATGCTACAAGTTGTCATTCAATGCAGACCTTCAGGTAAGACAGGTGATCTATAAGGCTAAAATTCAGCACCTATATTAGGAACTTCTCTCTAAGCAGTTCAAGTTGCTGTAGATATAACTTTAAAGAAATTGAACACTGAAATAAAAATGTATAAATAAGAAGAAGATAGGAAAGAAACAAAGAAAAAGTAACGAAAAATGTTAATGACAAATTCAACTTTTGACACAATAGTATGTTCTTCACTTTGGTGTTACTAATATATCATAAATTATACTGATATGTAGAAGAATTTCATTATAAGTTATTGTCAAATAAGAAGCAATGTACAAGCATTGTCCGGATAACGGATTTAATGAACTAGCTTACCTGCCCTTGTTCTCTTTTCCCTTAATTTTTTCTTGACCTTTTCCTCCAGTAGGATCCCACTCTACACAGGTATCTTCAACTCTCAGGTTCAAATGGGATGATGAGTTATCCAAACTGAAGTTAAGTGCTATCCAAAACAATATTTCAATTTTTTAAAAAATGTAGCATATCTCCACTTTCTGAAGCACAGCTATCATATTATTTTCCTTACTCAATTGATTCAACACTGTATATAGATAATCATGTTCAAATTCCTAATCCTAGCATTTAAAGTCTCCAATGATAAGGCCATAATTAACTAATTCCCACTATATTTCCCATTATGCTTTTCTATATAGCCTATGCTGCAACCAAATACAATGTACTTGCATGGCCACTGGTCCTGCTGGAATCTCCTTCAACACAAAATAACCTCAATTTCCTGTTAATATCTATCCTACCATTCTCTCAAGATAGTTTTAATAATCAAATGAAGAACTGTGACAGTGCTTTGTAAACATTAATAAACTATATAAAGTTTAAATAAAACTATAAAACTACATAAAGTTTATATAAAACTATATAAAAAATCTACAATATGATTTAAGAAAACAGACAGAACCCGAACTAAACTGAAAAGGTACTTCCCCATTATTGAGCCATAATCCATTCCCTGGGAAAACTCTAGGCAAATCTCAGTGATGCTTATGTATTTATACTAGACTGAAGTTTGTAAACTAAGCACCCACCAGAGAATATAACACTATCACCTCAGTCTATTTTACCCATCTGATTACCATGATAAAGGAAAAACTAATGAAAACCACTACTGTAGTCCTAATTTCCCCATATTAAAATTCCTACTGCTGGGAATTCTGTATGTGTGTGTGTGTGTGTGTGTGTGTGTGTGTGTGTAAGGAATGCAACCATACGTGAAATGCTTTCTGTCACAAAGTCTTGAATAACTTCAGATGTTAATTTTTGTTTTATGCTGTATAAATAGCTATTGATTTTACCTTTGGTCTCTAGAGTCACTGGATCAGAATACTCTCCAGCCACAGCCTTGTTACAGGCTCGCACTCTGAAATTCATATACTTTGAATCAAACTTTAAGCCTGAAAAAATGAAAATTGTTTTCAGATATGAAAAGTAAAGAAATCTACTCCAAAAGTGTGAGTATGAACCTTCAAACAGACATTTTTCCCTCCTTGGAACTATCTCTTTACTCAGGAAGCATACAAATCTATGTTAAAAGGATGACAATGCCCGAAATAAAAGGAATCATGATTATCTATTATTTTTTTCAAAAGAAATAAACTATACAGTTTTATCAATGGGTTTTTTTTTTTAAACCTAGTGATAAAAAGGTATTCTCAAGCATCATTAAAAGTAATGTTTCATTCAAGAAGAGAGGCTACAATTTAAAATAACATATTCAATTTCTGGAAAGTAGACAAATAAAGAATTTTTATATTTATGAAACATTGTCTTTTTATGTGAAAAATGAATTTAAAAAGAAAGTGAAGCATAACGACTAACAGCAAAACTCTGAAATTAGTCAGGTCTAGATTAAAATCTCAGTCCAAAAATTACTAACTATGGGACCTTCAACAACTTGACGAGGCCACAGTTTTCTATCTGTAAAACAGAAATGATAAAACCAACCTCATAACTGTACAGACTAAACGAGATGTATTTTACAGATTAAATGAGATGTAGTGTGTCATACACTTCAGCCTAGCTCCTGACAAATCGATAAGTGCTCCATAATGGTAACGTTACTAATGGTACTGCTCATGCATAACAAGCACTGAACAACTCAGCCAACATGCCGCCATTTCAAATATCCAAAGTCTCCTACATATGGAGATATCTTTTTAAAGACTTTCAAAAGGCCAACACAAATTTCTAATACCAAGTCACTTTAGGCAGTACCATGAAGGTATCATAAAAGGGTAAAGGCAACAGAATTTACTGTATCACCAAAATGTAGTGTGTACATTTAAAAAAAACAACAACTTTTTATTGTTAGAAAACCAAGATAAAAATTAAATGTTACTCTGAAATATCGTTTCCAGACATCCCTTCATGTTTGCTTTATATATATAGTTTTGCCAGGTGGCAAATACCCAGAAGTAATCAAAATGAAGGTTGTCTTAATATTTTAAGAGAAATTCACCTCTATAATGAATATATAAAAAGTCAGCTCTGCAAAGAAACTTAACTTTATCTTCTATAGTAACTCAAGATATTTTTCACAATTACATTTATTTTCTGAGAACGAGATTCATGAATGCAGTCGTTTTACCTGATAGTGTATATTCAGTACCCTTAATATTATCAATAATTTCCCAGCATCGCTCATCCTTTACACGTGGAAGTCCATCAAAATTAGTTTTCCTATATTCCAGTATAAAATGGTCAATCTTATTATCTTCTTCTGGCATTCTCCAAGCTACTGTGACAGAGTTGTCAGCCACCAAACACTCTACCGGATCTATCTCTGGAGCTTTGGGGACTGAAGAAAAAAAAAAGGCTCATTTCTCATTTATTATAGTTCTAATCCAATATTTAGGTTTGTCATTCAAACTACGCTTTTTCATGTTGCTTTTGAACTGTTCAATTGAATGAAGCTAAGAGAAGGGATACCCTATAACTGCAACACATTTTTTTGCAAAGCTCCGTTTAAAAATTCATGTTTCAAAGTTTTTTCATAGACTGATATTTCAAGGCTATTACAATCCTAGTTGGCAAAAAGCAATTCAAACGTGCTAAGGATAAAGAATCAAGAATAATTTGTTACTTCTCAACACATACTTTTAATCTATTTCAAACAGCTGTAGAACATAAATTAAATCACTATTGACAAAACAAATTAACTTGCCTTGAATCTAATTATTAAAATAATTCAAGATGTTTCCAATGTATTTTTTAAATCTTGTTTATCAAAGAACTGTAATTTCTCAGCACTAAACAAAAATGTCCCCAACCCCAAAAAATACTTAAGAATTTTTACATGTTTCTCCAAAGAGTTCTATGATTCATTAAAATAAACTGGGGTAAATGAGCCACAATTAACATGTATGAACATGAATCAATTTCTTTTCCATAAAAGAGATTTTCCATAGCTCCTCAACATTAACAGATGTTCCATTTACATAACAAAAGGCTAATTGGAGAACACGGTCTTCCAGTGATATAGATGTATCTCAAATATGTGAAACTGTATAGGTATTGTATTTAGACATTTTGTTGCTAAAAAAAAGAGTTTTAAAAGATTCACTCCAAGTATGCAAGCCTGGTTCCACATTCTAAATCAATTAATGTAATCTATCACATCAGCAGAAGAAAAATCAGATGATTATATCAGAAGATAGAGAAAAAATATTTGACAAAATCCAACACCCATTCATGACAAAAACTCTCAGCAAACTAGGAATAGAGGGGAGCTTTACTTGATAAAGAACATCTACAAAAAACCTACAGTTAACATCGTACTTAATGTTGAGAAACAAGATAGGTTTCCCTAAGGCAAGGATGTTCCCTCTCACTACTCCTATTCAACACTGGAAGTTCTAGCTAAATGAAATGAGACAAAAAATGGAAATAAAAGGTATACAGATTAGGAAGGAAGAAATAAAACTGTCTTTGTTCACTGATGACATGCTTGTCTATGTAGAAAATCCCAAAGAATCAACAAAAAAATTCCTGGAACTAAGAAGCAATTATAGCAAGGCTGCAGAACACAAGGGATGATCAGGCAGAGTACAGGTAAATTTTAGAGCAGTGAAACTATTCTGCATGATAATGTAATGGTGGATACATAACATTATACATTTGTCAAAACCCAGAGAACTCTATGACACAAATAATGAACCCTAATGTAAACTACGGACTTGAGTTAATAACAATGACATTAGTTAATCAACTATAACAAATGTACCACACTAATGCAAGATGTTAATTATAGGAGAAACTGTATGGGGGGAGGAGGGGGGTATACGGTAACTCACTATATTACCTGGTCAATTTTCCATTAACCTAAACCTGTTCTAAAAAGCAAAGTATTAATTTAAAAAAAAAAGCTACAACAAAAGAATTACATATATAAGTTAAAATGCAAGCAATGTGAGACATAACAAATAACAAAGTAAACAAATCTCTTAGATAAAATAATCAACAGCAAGATGAAAGGAATTTGATACCAAGTTTAAATCTTCAAGCCTAACTAGTAAGAAAGGGAGGGAGGGAGAGAGGTGGGACAATTGATCTCCATTAGCTATAGACTCCAAAGTTCAACCCTTGTATGTGCGTTATTATACAATAAATACTTAAAATCTGATATATCTTAATTCGTAAGACAACAACCAAAGAAGTATATATCATTTGTCATTATGGTTAATTTCCTTCATCTATCTTGTGGGGTTTTTGTCCCTATAATCCATAACAGATGTTCGTCTCTATTACTGGCACTTAAGCAATATAGCCTACCATTCATTGCCAAGAGACTAGACCATGGGTATTCACGAATTTAATATGTTCTGCATTGCCTACATGTGAGGAAATGTAGAGGCCTATGGCATGTAGTAATTTTATAATTTCACTGAGTCAAAACCTGCACTGAAAGTCCCAAGAGGCTAGTATAAAGAGAGACTCACTCAATTTGTTAATGGGCCTGGCTAACTACCTACATCTCAATGTACTGGCAAGTAGATTCTTCTTTCTCGTGGATAATGGCCCCCAAAAGAAAGCAAACTGCTAAAAGTGGTAACTGAGGTGAAAATGAAAAAAAAATCCAAGAAAATGGTGATACTTGGGAGGGAAAAAGAAAATTTAGATAATTTAAGAGTTGTATGTCAAATTACGGTTGACTTGGATTTACAATGTGGGAAGTTCACCCAAATTCTATACAGATGTAAGAGAAGAGTTCATCAAATGAGAAATGATACTCAAGGGGAAGAAGAAAGGTGGTAAACTTGTAACTTAAAAATATTACTTAGGAAACGCAGAACTCTCTTTGGAAATGAGAATGGAAAGCAATTCACGGCAATTTCCATAGAGCAATAGTTCAGTAGCAATAGTGTGGAAACTGGTTCAAGAATTTTACTAAGGTTGTCTCTGCATGTGAATGTAAAAGGACAAGTGGCATCAACATTGTCACAAACATGTTTCTCAGTTGTGGAAGCTCAGAAAGGAGAAGGATATAAACCCTAAATTTCAGTGTATAAAAAATGGCTTAGAGTAGACGAAAAGGACTTGTAATTATTATCATCCATCATTATCCTTTTCATTTTCAGACTCAGATAAGTCCACAACTCATGTTCCTCCTATACATAATGCACATTTGTGGTGTTTATGGAATGAATTATTAAGGAATGAAGGTATTCATTTTTTTAGTTAATCTGATTATATCTTATAGGAAATTTTATGTTACAGCAGGATATAAAAATTAGCAATATGAAATCATCTTTCATAAATTTTAACAACCTACTATACTTTTCCTTTGGGATGAAACTCCTCCACAAAAAGGTTTCTTGTTTTTTATTATACCTCATTCCTTCACACTGTCTTAACAGTTTGCCAAAAGTAGAAATCCTAACTGTGCATGCAATCTACTTGACTGTACAGTAGGCATGGCCTTGGTCTGTTAAACGGTCACTGAAAACCCAAAAGAAGGAAAGTAATAGTGAGAAGATTGCTTTTTTAGTAATTTATTTATCAAACAAAATAATAATACTCATGTGTATATTCACAATCCATCACTCCTGATTCTTCTTCTGAATTCGGAAGTAGTTATGAATAAAAGTATAATGGTTAGTAATTCTGAAAGGCCAATTTACAGGTAGATCTCCACCAATAAGTATACTTGCTTCCTCCACAACTATGGTTCCTTCTCTCATCTTTTCCTTCTGCAAACTGCTCTAGAACTTCTGATCTATACCACACAAGTTAACACTTCACTTATGCTACTCTTACTATTTCCATTATAATTTCATGACTACTAACCTTGTCTTTCCAATCATATTTTAAAGTCCCTGACCAAATATTCAAAGAAAAGAATGGTTTCAAATCATCAACATTCTCTATTCAAAAGCAGCTAACCTCCAAAAAATAAAAGCCAGTTCTACAAAAGCACCTGTAAGTAAAACACTTCACTTTCAAGAGATTTCCTGATGCCCCAAATCACTACGTCCAAATTGTTTTACCTATCAACTAACAATATTGCTTGATGTTAGCTAAAAAGAGAATACTAATCAAAAGGTCCTTAATTAGCTCCTTCACCAATGGACAGTAATTTGGGACTCAATTTCAAATGGTTTTGGCTACTGGAATATCCTCATACCAATACTCTAATAAGCCAATATTAACATATTATTACTGGAAATAAAATTCCAACTGAGCCAACAACAACCACAACCATAATGGTAATGAGAGCAGCTAACATTCACTGAGTGTTCACTGTGTGCCAGGTACTATTTCAAGCGCTTTAGAGGTTTCAATTCACTTAATCTTTATAAAAACCCAAGAAAGATAACATCACATTTTAAAAATGAAAATGAGGCAAAGTTAAGCAACTTGTTCAAGGTTACACAGCAAATAAATGGCAGCCAGAATTCAAATCTAAGAAGTATGGTCCCCAAACCCTGTGTTAACCATCATGGTATACTGCTTCTCTCCGCCAAACTAGCAATAAAAGGTATCTCTCGATAGGATTCTTCAAATGGAATTTTTACTACCAGTAAAATAATTCTCTAAAAATAAAGACTAGCAAATTTAATTATTCTTAGCTGAATGAAGAAAAAAAATTACACTATACTTCTTTAATATTTACATTCTAATGTTCATTACAGAAAAATCTTGCAGAAAAAAAAAGTTTTCATAGGTAACCTTACACGTGATCTATGTACTTACCTGGCAGAAACTTCAAAGTCTGCAGCATCTGTCTCTCCTGAGAAAAATCCACCATTAAATGAGTCATGTTGTCACTGACCTTTGGCTTCAAAGAAAGGCGAAAGGCTGAAGCCATTGTCACTCTACGGCAAACAAAGACACACTTTCAAAAACAAAAGAATGGCGAGGATCATATATTTAATTTATAATATGAAAAGATAGAAGTTATTTCACTCTAGTGATTTCAGAAACTATAACAAAGGTAACAAAACTAAATAGAAATTTGCTCTTAGAGTTCTTTTGAAAATTAATTAAATAAAAAGCTGTGAAATGTTTTTACATTTAAAGACATTTAAGATAACGTGAAGAAACTTTCCTCCAGCCAGTTTCATAAAATTGCATACAAGTATCAGAAGAGACAAATATCCAGTATAAATCATCTTGAACAGACCCAACAGTCATCCGAACCTCTGTACACTCAGTCTCACTGACTTCCTGATGCCAGCCTCACTCCTTTTCATATGCCAAATAACAAACCGTACATATACCCTGATTCAAACATCTCCCTAGTAGTCACAGCTTCTGCATGTATCCTCAAATAAGACTAGAGGTACACTGTCGACATATTGTATAGCTTGGAAGCTCCTTAAGATAGGGCATGGATGAGAAAGGAGAGAAGTGAAATCATGATTTTGAATACCATGCTAGTAGGTGTCACTCTAATGTATCAACATCAGCTACATGGAAGGATACGAGGAGAAACAGCCCTGTGAAACCATATCCATGGAAATAATAGGAGTTCAATAAATATTGATTAGATGAATGTGGTATAAAAAACAAAAAAAGAAGTCATACCAGACCTCATTCCACCTAAAGTACGGGGAAACTGTACTGTCAAATAAAACTGGAGTTTAAAAGAAATTCTCATATTCTATTTGTCATTTTATCTCAAATTTGAATTTTTCATATTACAGTAAATTTCCACAAGTATCACAAAGTAACTCCCCTTATTACCTTTGGTCAAAGAATGATACAAAAGTACTATCCGTGAATGTTGTGCTTCTAGTATACAATTTGGGAGAGGAAGTAAATAGAGCGGAGGAACAAAGAGAATATCAGGCCTAGTCATTCAGATATGCCAAATCTACCCTAGAGATCAATGGTATGAAAGATATGAAACTTCTTGCTGTATGCGGTTATTTTGGGATGAAAAATGTCAAACTGTTGCTGTATTCAGTTATTTTATTTCATTTTAAAACTAGGAAAGTAATCACAATAGTAACAATGAGTCAACAATAGCTGATCTATTTATCAAGAAGAAAGTGCTACACTGAAATACAATTTATGAGGAAGGGAACTCACACTTACTGAAGCCAAGCATAACCCTGAATATTTCATACATATTACTTGAAGCTGTTGATCTCAATAATAAAACTTCAGATTATATCAATAAGAAGGTAGGAACAAAGGCTAAGTCTTACATACTTTGTTCTTTACAGCCCCAAGTATCTTTTGATTTGAAGACTTCTGAAAGAACCATATTCAGACAGGTACTTAGTAAATACCCAACTAATCAATGAATGGGTTCGAACCTACTTGGCTGCTTCTAAACCTGACTATTTAAATGTTTGTTGAGAACTGCTGAGAAAAAATATCTGAAAGTATTTTAGGGAACTGAAATCTGAAACTTTGTACAACTTGATATAATCACTATGGCCTCAAAGAAAAAGACTGTCTCCCAAAAATGCATTAGAAAGGTCTATCAAAGCTAAAAAACAAGAATAATGACTTTTATTGTCTGGTCACTGAAAATTTCAGTCTCCATAAATCAAGTAAGATGTACAACAATGCTATAATCTTTCAAAAGACTGAACTTTTCATTTTTAAACTGAATATATTTAGACAATTGTGCCTCGAAGCCCAAACTAACAATCTAAAATCCACAGATAGTCTCTACATTACAGTATCCATGTGGTTAGGAAAGTTCTAATTTACCTCGACCTTCTTGGTTTATTCCTAATACTACAAGCTGAATACAAGGATCCCTTCCTCCTAGTTTTACTTTTGCAAAAAGAAAATAACTGTAAAACATATGGATGAACACTTTCAATTTCCTCAAACTAACTACCTAATTAACTTGACTCTCTCTTTCATGACCCCTTTCTTTCAAGAAGCAATAAATCCTACAATATACCTCAAGTAACCATCTTCCAACATTACTAAGCACCCAGGAGTGTATACCAGTGATTTATCAAGTTCTGGAGATCTGCTATGCATTATCTTCTCATTTCTGTCTTTAGTTTTTCCTGTCACTTCTGCTGTTCCTCCTGCATAACTTCTATCACAGCAAGTGATAAATACTGAGTTCTTGGATACTTTCATTTTTATATATGTGATTCCCTGCTCAGCTATGTTTTACATTCTTCCTTAAAATACTATTTCTGCCCTCATATAAAGGAATAATCCTCTCTTCCTTTAGTGAAAATAATTATTTTATTATGACTATATGTTTAAATTATTTTTATATTATAGATAGCAATGATGAAATTCTAGAAGCTTGCTTCCTGGGAGAGCACCTAAAAACTACATCAGAGAAACCTAGATATTACAAAGCTAAAAATCAAGTTTAAAAAATCAAGCCAAGACCCAGAAATGTTCCTTAGGCAGGGAGTAAAAATTTTGTGAGAAGCCAAAAAAAAAGTATATGCTTTGAAAAACAAACAAAAACAAAAATGCAAGTTTGCCCTGACAGATAAAAGGAAACCTGACTCCTGAGATCACCTGGATACTGATGAAATCAACCCAAGAGGTTGGCTTAGAAGAAGAGGCAAAGAAGTCAAGCTTCACTGAAGAACACATTCAGTCATAAAAACTGATCATAAAATTAAATTCTGGCCAACAAATCTGGACAAAGAGAAAAGGTCAAGGGTAAGGACAGGATTCTGGGAAGCACAGAATCATACAGATTCCTAGGAGAGGAACTAGAGAAGACTGCAAGGTCTCTCGCTAAGTCTTTGGACAGCCCAAAGCCTGATTAGGAGAGACTTCTAATCCAGAAAATCGGGGACCAGAGCAGGACTTAGTGGAGTAGGTGGCTAAATAGAAGAATAATCTAGCCAGGGTGGAAGATGGATCACTCATAGTGAATTCCAGCAAACATAACCCAAATCTACCTTATCCAAAAAACTGACCTACCTAGCATCCATTCCTCATACAGCCATTACTTTTCACCTTCAAACCCTCACAATCTCCTTTCTACATCCATGATTTTATAAGAATGATCCATGTCTTTAACCACTCCCTAATATAAAATACACAAAAAATATAAAAATTAATATTTGTGCTAAGAAGGCTGTAACTGCCACGTAAATCTTGCCTTTAGTCAAATAAAAGCCCCCGAGGGAAACACAGAACTGAAGTCTTCAGCCAAGAGTAACAAAAGAGACACTGGTTTTCACACAATCCATAATGAATAATTTTGTGAATTATCTAATGAAGAGTAATTTAATCTAGGAATCAGAGTGGTGCTTTGAAGAGCTGTGCCTTTCAGAGAATCTCATAATTCTCAAATGAAGAAACCTTAAGTGATAACATCACAGTCGATGCTCAGCGACTAGCCAGGCAGATCAAAACCATCCTTTCCGGGGTAAGCCACCCAGAATTGCCAGCAGCTCTTTCAGCCCTTTGGTGTATTCATTATAGCATGAATCTCCCTTTCTTAGTCCTGGCTCTACCAATGAGAAAGATGTTTCAAGCCAAAGCCTTTCATCATTTTCTTTAATTTTCTCTTCCCACAGACTAGATAATAGTGGCATTAGAAATAGAAAGAGATGGCACCAGGAACAGGATGGAATAAGAACACAAAGGTGTTAAACAGAAGAGCGGTGTAGTCAGAGAGCTTTACCTCTTGAGGACTATTTAAATGCTGTGACTTCTCAGAAAATAAGACATGCTTATAAAATTTAAGAACAACCAAAAATGCATTCCAAGAGTATGTATTTTTTATTATTCAAAATAGTTCCCCATCCATTAGCATAGCTAATTAAGAACTGTACTAAAACTAACTATATTATACCAGAAATGAAATTCTTTTGGAAGTACATAATTGTCCACAACTATGTTTTTAAAAAATCTTGCTGATATATTGCTTATTCCAGAAGATATGCAAAAGACATATTCTTTTTTTATGTACTTGGCCATTAGGTATTTTTATTTTAACCAACGAGATTCTAATAAGAAACTGTTGTTGAATTTCATTTCTGACTTCAATATCAATACTTAAATAAAAATGTAGGTTTTATACCATACCTATCCTTGATCTGTCTGGCAGCCTTGGAGCAAATCAGGGAGAAGAGAAAGAAGGCAGTTAGTGCTTTTCATGCAAGTTTCAATGGCAGTGACATGCAAGAAAAGTTAGGATATAAACCCTGGAATAGATTAGTTCATATTCACCAAAATATAAATTACAGGAAATTTGTACAGTTCACATCAGCCTGCATAATGTGATGTTAGAACTATAGTAGAAAATCCAGACCCCACCTATATACCACCTTACAGGAGGAAAATTTAACACTCCAAACTAATTCCAGATGACTATAAATGTTTTTTCTTACCTTAAGATTATCAAAACACACCTCCACTTTCATTCAGTCTGACATTCTTCAACTAAAACAATCAATGGCCTTCATGGGGGCACACATTTCTATGCATTCTGATGGTTTTCTTACACATTGCAAATCTGCTCTCCAATCTTTCTTCAGAGATCTCTGTCACCACTTCACAATGACTGTTCCGAGTTTTCTCTACATGCCTCCACTGGGCAAGGACTTTGTATTCTGAGAGCTTGCCTGCTAACATATAAAACTAGGCTGCAGTTCTACAATCCTTTACCCCAAAAGAATGCAGTTGTAATGGCGAAAATTAAGACGAGGAGAAACCAGAGGAATACTTCTAGTAATGGTGTCTTTCCAAGACGACTTCACTGACGCTGCCAACTTAAACCTACTCCACATAAAATATCTTTTTTTTTTGGAGAAAGCTAGTACAAGTTTAGAAAGGGGCACACCTATTACTTGGTGCTGTACAGTCACCGAAAAATACACGCAAAAACTGTTGTCTCCTTTACATTTACAATACAATATATCCAACAAAAGTTTTTTCCCCACACTGACCAGCGTAATTAATGATACATCCAATGTAGACCATGACTGTCTTGCTTGATACTCTATCCCCAGTGTCTAACAGAAAGCTTGGCACATAATGATAGTTAATAATTATTAAATTTAACTAAACATTAATTAGATGTATATAGCAATGCTTCTATTACCTCTCCAGTTCTAATATTGTTCTTATTGGTATTGGTTATTTTTATACCCATCCTAAAATATTTTGGTCTGAGAACCTTTCTACACAAAAGAACAGAATTGTGATGTAAGAGATCAGCCTATTAAACAGTCCCAGCACTACCATAATCAATTCTGTGACCTTCTATACTAATCTTTCTATTTCTTTTTTAAGGGATTTTGGTCCTTAATGTTTCTAAAGATCCTTTCCAAGCTCCACATTCTACAACAAACAACACAATTCTGTGGCATCTATAATATGAACTTTAAGTTATGACACTACTTTGGTACTAGGGATAAGAAATGTTAAGAATGTCAATTACATTGATTTTTCAAAATAACTGTCATTATAGCTAGAATTACAAACCAAAGATTTTAATATAAGAGTCAGGAAGGGGAAGAGGAGACTCTTCTCTGCACTTGACGTTTCTTTACATATGGAGTAAGTGCCACTAGCATTACTCCTTCAGTCTCTCTCTATTCTCTCATTTCTCCTGGGGAGGTGATATGACTTAATTTGATTATGAGCTTGAAAGGAGAAACTAGAAATAAGTAGCTGAGCACCTTTCCCTCTTTCTGGCAGCTTTCTTGCCCACAGAGAACATATATTCTGTTCTTTCCCTCTACGTAGTATCACTGAAACAGGCTCCCCATACACAGACTTGAGGTAGCCCCGTACTGACCATACCTGGGTGGGTAAGTCTGTCTAATTCTAGGATTCAATACAGTCCTGCACCACATAACAATGTTTCAGTCAATGACGGACCACATATACAATGATAGTCCCATAAGATTAATACCATATACCCTAGGTGTGTAGTAGGCTATACCATCTAGGTTTGTGTAAATACACTCTATGATGTTGGCACAACGAAACCACCTAACACCACATTTCTCAGAACGTATCCCCATGGTTAAGCAACACATGACTGTATTAGGAAGCTTGCCCATTAATATAATGCAAATTCTCCAATATCATTTTATTGGTATTTGGCCTTTTATCAGCTTGATTGTTTTCTCTTATTTCCCAATTGGTTTAGAACTTGGTTAGAGGAATGTTACTTACTAGTCACTCTCAAATAACGCAACAATATGAAGACCATTACTGTTTTGTAAACCAACGATAATGATTTAATTTTGTGTCTAGTCTTACTTAATTTGGTAAGATGCCATTTTTTAGTGTCTGTGAGCAAGTGTGCACACATATACACGCATGTAAAGCTTTCGTGTTATCATTTAATGTACTAGGCTGTTTGTGACAAACCAGAAAAAGGATAGATAAAAAGCCAGACAATCTAGGAAAAACTGTTGTCCCATGTATTTACAAATAAACATACTCAGTTGGTAAAACTGAAGCCTCTGTGGTTGAAATTTTACAGTATGTATACTGTGTAAACGTACAAGGCTTGAAGAAGTTATTCTGAGTAATGATAGAAGGGGAGAAAGCTATTTCTCTAAAAGGACCCAATTTCAAGAAATGTCTTAAATTAGAAAATAGATTGTCTGGAATTTCTTCTCCCAAAGCAGAAAGCTATCCAAAAGATATATATTACTTTGTTGCTTGATTCCTCTACGTTTCAACTTCAAGAGTGATGCATTTTGTCAACTAAACATCTCTGCTTAATAAGTACCAACTAATCTCAGGATTTACCACTGCTCTGTCTCCAATACATTTATCTGCATTTACGAAATTCCACTTACTGAGTTATGAAGAGGCCTCAGTGAATGCTTCGATTTTTAGGTTATGGTACCGTATATTACCAGAAAGCCTTCAAGAAGCATTAGTCATATTACTTTGCTCAACATCACTATTTTCTACTTCAATCACTATTTCTATTTCAATCTTCTACTGAAATCCTGTTTGCCAACACTTCATTTCTCTCTATTCATATCAGAGATGACTCCTTTCACTCTCTCTCTCATTCCCTTCCTCCATCTCTCAATTGTTTTTAAAATAAATCTTACAATTCTGATGCTTTATTATATCAGTTACAGGGGAAATCTGTCACCTGAGGCCAAACTTCCTTAAATAAAATTGTACTAAGAGTACAATGTAGGAGTAACCACAAATGATTCTTCATAATTATCAATTAAATATAAAGAAGTTAAGCCAGATCTTTTTCCAATCTCTCATTTTTAATCTGCAATGAGTGAACATAGAAACTATTTTCTTCTGTGAATTTATCAAACACTTGGAAGGTAAAAATCTTATTGTTTCTATATTTCTTCTTAATATCCTCATTTTCTCCTTTTATAGAAAGATGTTAGAAGCAACGTATTCTAAAATAAATCTATTTATGAAGTAGCTAATTGAATAGTATTTTCTTGACACAGTTAAAATGGGAATAATAAAATAAAGAAGTTTTAGATCTTACTGTACTCAATGAAATCATTTACCCAAACAAAACAAATTTTGAGATTTCCAAATTTCTTCCCAATCAGCAGAAATTTTGAAACTCATCAGCAAAAACTAAGGAGCATTAGACCAAGGTTTAAGAGATCTGAGTTTCAGCCCATCATGTTAACCAGCAAGTCACTTAACTCCTTTAGGACTCAGTTATCTCATCTATAGAATGATGAGCACTAAGATATCTTCGAACCCTAAAAGTCCATCCTAAGCCATCTTTTTTGTAGATAACTTTTTAAAATTACCTAAAATAAACATTTTGACAATCTAATTCTCTGAAGTACAGGCTGAAATAGAGAAAAAGGCAGCAAGAGAAAAGTTAGTTAAAATCAGAGCACTGAGAAACAGCAACAAAAATAAGAATATATCTGTTTCTGAAGGATAACTGCTGAGAGAAAAATATAGTACCACTGTCAAAACAATTAATCTAGCAAAAGCTAGATGTCAAAATTGGCATTTTCCTGAAAGGACTTATCTTTCGATTTGCAGTAAAGCCCAATAGAGTTCCTAGCAAAAATCTGAACGCCACACAACACTGAGAAACTTTTCCAGTCTTGTCTATGTGTTCACATTGTTTTATATTTTTATACTTCAGATTTTCCTATTAGATATGGGACAGATAATTCTGTAATATTTCCTTGAGACAATCTGAAAATGACGAAGGGGCAAATATTTAATACTTTTTCAATACTTTTTACAGTATATAATTGAGACTTCTACCCTCACCCCGAAAATAACATATTAAAGAGTAACTTGGGAAATGAAAGGGACTCAGAGAGAATGAAAAAGAGTTTTAAAATGCTACTTTCCTTTAGGCAATAATATCAGCTTTCAAATTAAAAAAAAAAACAAACACTGCATACCAGTTGATTCTATACATTAGAAGTTTTATATTTTCTATATATATACCTGTTTATAAAAATAATTACTTTTCAAAACACATGATCATTTAAAAGTCTTCTTCACAAAGCCATAGTAAATAACTTGAAATAAACTTTGAATACAGTACTACATACATCTGATCAATGAAAAGTACATTTATATAACAAGAGACTGTATTTCTATACGACATAAACACCCACAAATAAAATAAAGGTGAAAAATTATAGTTTGAGCTATTCTTAACAAAGATTTAGATTTGTTTTAAATTGCCTTCATAACTGAAACATTCATGCTTCTGTTGAAGGTCCTCTCCTCTCCCAGCATTCCTGACTTCAGCCCACAGGAGTTTCTGCCAATACTTTGACTCCCTTGAAAACACTGAGAGAGCTTTCACTCCTCTCTCCTTATTTGCTCCTCCCACCGGTCAGAGACTGATACTCACTGAACAATATTCCAATGGTGAGTTACTGTGAGTCAGAAGTGGGAAATACACAAAAGGCATTCTCCCTTTTCATCTGTGACCAAAGGCAGAACACACTGTTCCTCTTTCACCTTTCTCCGTACTTTTTATTCCACTGTAGGCACCCACAGGCAGGTAACCATTCCTTCTCTTCTAGTCTGACAACTGGGTTACATGCGGGTTTTGTGTGGCAAGATTGTGACTGACTCAGCTCTCTTCGTAGGTAGAACTCAAGTTCTAAATTTGGGGGGCAGGGAGGGAATAGGAATATTAATTTTGGCAAAGGATCCAAGCAGTGTTCTGCAGATCAGCTAGGAGTTTGGCTATCTGTCCATCCAGAAATAAAGCTAATGATCTAAATCTCATTTGCTGGTGATCTTTCTGCATATATTTACTATCAATCAAACTTCTAACAGTTTAAAAAAAAATTAGTGAAAGTATGATCTTTTTATTTTATTTTTTTTAATTTATTTTTCCCCCTCAAAGCCCCAGTAGGTAGTTGTATGCCATAGCCGCACATCCCTCCAGCCACTGTATGTGGGACGCGGCCCCAGCATGGCCGGAGAAGCGGTCTGTCAGTGTTCACTCGGGATCTGAACCTGGGCCGCCAGCAGCGGAGCGCGTGCACCTAACCGCTAAGCCACGGGGCCAGCCCAGTGAAAGTATGTTCTAAAATCCTTTTCCATTTGTGCTATATTTACTTGTTTACTTTCATATTGTCTAAGTCTGGTGAATAGCATAGCTATATCTGATTTACTCACTTTAATATGGGATATTCACAAATAGTATACATTAAAAGATTTTCTTTCTCCAAATATCTAACAATATACTGCTAGTCCAATAATTAATCTTCAAAGTCATCTTTCCCTCTTCTGTCAGCAATCAGGTGTTCGAGGCAAGCCTATAGTCCATGCAGCTAGGAGAGTGAACTTAGTTTTTGACTTGGAATCAAACCATTACCTGGATATTACTTGGATATACTAAGAAAATAACTGCAAGCAACTCTCAGGCATTTTTCTTGAACAATCAACTCAGATTTCTGGCTAGGAAACACTGACAAATAATTCGTTTCACCACAAGTCCAAATGGGTTAAGCTATTAAGCAGTACTGCAAAATGCTGGAAGACAAGACAAAACAGGAAGATAAGAAGCAAAGGGGCACATTAAGAAAATATATTTAAACCACAATGTGACTTATTTTATCAGAACCTTTCCAATTTACAATCAGCTAGGAACAAGTTCTAACAAAGCTGAAAACAAAGCTGGAAAGAACAAAGCAGAGAGAAAGAGAGAATAGCAGCCTCTGAGAGAAAGGGGAGAGAAAGACTCTGAAAATGTCAACAGAAGAGAAACTTGGGAGAAACAAACTTTTATCAGTTTTTCCAAGCATCATTCTCTATTTAAATGCAACTGGATTCAAGTTTATTTTTGAGTACTTGTGTCCACAATTTATAGCTTTCCCGTCGTCTTCCTTACTCTCAGGCTCTCAGCTGTTAATTCTTGCTGCTATGGTTATGCCTGACATTAACAGCTGCCCTACTCCACTAGAAGGGGACTCTGTTGACAACTAGGAAACAGAAAGAAAAAAAACTAAAAATTTAGTAGTACCATGTACATATTAATAGTCAACAGATTCTGAGAAACTATCACGAATAGAGGATATTAACTCCTGCCATGAACTCTATGACACTGATTTTGATGACTCAGACATCTACTTTCTGCATGCTTTTTGGCTATGTTTAAGATATCTGAGGTTATCACATAAATGCCCTCTGAAGAAGTGACATATCTGTACTTTTAAAGAACTTTAAAATATATTTTCCTCATAATTCCTTTATATAAGTCCTACCAAGTGCAAAGACAAACTTTTCCTTACAACCCACCTCCAAATTCAAGAGTTCACTGGTTTATAGCAAAACAACTTTTTTTTATTCATTTTGTTAGAAGGAATCAATTTTTAAAGTTCATTTCCAAAATGAAGTGATATAAGCCAGCAAATGTTACCTTCTCAAGGAAGTTTTTTACCCTTAAGTTCACAGAAAAATCATAAAATGAGAACATTAGGTGGACACAAATGGATTATAAAGCCACCTTTCTAACACTAATGCAGCTCACTACATAGTCCACAAAGACCAAGAAAATAGTATCAAACTCAAATATCCTATCTTGATAAAATGACTACATAATAGTATATATTCTGCTAATTACACAGCGTAGTTTCCTGCTCTTTTCAGACCATTTTTTATATATTCTACATCCTTATTTTACATCAAATAAAATAGATTTAATTTGATAAATTGGTAATCATTTAAAAACAATCCTACTTAAAATAAGAATTAGAACCTAGAATTCAGAATCTCTTAAATACCAGGATCTAGGTTAAAACATTACCAGTCTTCTTGCTCTACTGTTTATATTTTCATACCAAACATATCCCTTAAACAAGGATCTACATTTTCATATTTTAATAAAATATTCAAACAATTACTTAAGCTACACATGGGGACATTTAGGAACAAATTTTACTAGGTTACAGTGCTCATATGCATCAAGTGATGATGTTTTCCTAATCAGCTCATAGAATGGAATACAAAACTAGATTTTTAAGAATGTTAATAGCAACATCAATCTCCTTTCTTTAGTCATGAAACGTTTCTAACAAAGGTATGACTCAGCTAAAGTACACAAGTACCTTTAAAATAAATGACCAATAGGGACGTAACTGAAAAAAGAGAATAACTTGATTCATCTCATACAATTCTAAGTGTCTGCTCTGGAATAAATGCATAGCTAGCATTTTACTTAATAAGAAATTCCAAGCCTTTTTTAGTATTAGAAACGACTGAATAAATCCAAAATTAAAAGGGAAAACACCATTTTTAAATAAAATTTTCCTTTCCAAGTGGATTAGTTTAGTTTTGTCGGTAGGTTTTTTTTTGTACCTTTGAAAATTCTTCAGGTTCCTTTATATCTAATGACCGTGTTGCAAATTCTAATAATTCTTCTGAGTTCTCCAGGGCATTATTACATTGACTAAGCTGACTCTGGAAAAAAAATGATAAATCATTAAAATAAAATTTCCTATTGCCATCAAAATTTTAAATATATATTGTTATAATGAACTTACAATTTTAATAACAATAATTGAACAAAAATACTTATTGAAGCAAGGTAATCACTAGTCATATATATACCATTTTAATTATCTTAACACATTGTACTTAACATTTTTCCATAATTTGTCCAAAATAGCTTAATTGCATACAAATAAAGACATATTCATCATTTAAAAACACAAAAGAAAATAAAGCAATTAAAAATAGCTGGGGTCAAATTTACTTAAAGATTCTTCTCAATCAGGGCAGTAAGGAAACTATCAACAACTTAAACTAGTACCAAAATAATACATCTGTGGACAACATCCTCTATCGTGAAGACTAAATTTCTTGATGATATTTAACTACTTAAGTTAAAGTTTATGAATCAAGTCACAGGTATGTTCAGTCGAGCACAATCTTACTACTCCATTTATCCCATTACTCAAGTAATACATATTACTATAAATGCTAATGTATAGTTTCCAAAACTAGATAACAGAGGAATCACAAATGCAAGTGCCTAAATTTCAAAAAGAGGAACAAAGATGATAACTGTTATAGTGATGTGTTAATTTCACCTAACACAAACTCTCTCCCTCTCTCACACTATCATTTGTAGATCTAAAACTAAGCCCAATCATGTGAAAATACTGTTAGTGATACCTTTAAACAAAGAAACAGACCAATTTCTAAGCTTTTAAATGTATCCAAGATTCTTCTTCAGAATATTTAATATCTATTTCATATTCAAATCTACTTAGTTTTTCCCTAAGATCAGCACTAAAGATAAACTACAGCTCATTTCATTGGTTTCTGATGTGTTCTATTTTACTTTGGAAAAGCAGAATATTTCATCCATATTTTGAGTTAAAACAGGTTTTCATGTGTTATTCTAAGAACCTAACCACAATTTCATAAAAATACTGCTCCTCCCATAAGTAAATCTCTTATGAGTTCCAAAAAAGAATTAACAAACCACCAATTGAAACATCCCACTTGTAGAAGAGCTTTATGCAAGGTTTAAGCAAAATCACTGAGAACAAGATGGCAGGTGCAAATGATCACTAGGGCAAACTAAGTCAATGTAGTAGGAGAGTAAAAAATACCAAGAAAAATAAAGAATATATCTCAAGGAACTATTAAAGTAAGAGAGTCCAATCTGAAGTAAAGTGTGAGATGAAATAATATCTTATTCTAAGAAAATGTTATTTATTTGCTTTGAAGTCAAGAGGAAAAGCAAAAAAAAAAAAAAAGAAAAGGAGGGTACAAAGGACTACAACTTAAAGAGTACTAACTTATCAGTTATTCAGAGTAATTATTAAAATACCTTAATGAAAACAACACACTATCCAGTCTGTGAACCCAAAAGAAGAACAGAGATGCTCTACTATCTCCAACTAAAGAAGGAAATGGCATCAGTGGCCAAGTTGTGATACTTTTTAATATATCATTTTTAAACTATCCCAAGAAAGCTTTATGATTTGAATTACCATTAGGCTGATATCACCATAGCTCTTCCTTTGAATCATAACACAAGAGCATCTTCAAGAATGAAGTTATGCTCACTAAGCTTATTTTCAATAACTTAACAGTCTCATTTTACAACCTGATGTCCCCTCAATATCACTTGATCTCCCCTACATCATCGTTCCTATAAAAAAATCACCAAAATTTTTGTGGCATTGAGAAGGAGAGGTAAGTATTAAGAATTACAAAGGATAAGAGATTGTAAGATAAAAGGAGGAAAAAAATAAAATAATGGAATCACTGGGAAAAAATGAAGATCTGAAGTGATAATACAGGAAGAGGGGATCGTGCTAACATCCTTGCAGTCAGTCACCACTTCCAAACAGTATTTAGAACTGTTTCCCCCATTTTCTACAACATTCTGAATTCCCCATCAATATTCAGCAGCTAATGACAAATCTGATAGAATATCTGATCAAAAAATCAGAGTAAAATCATCCCATTTAAAAAGAGCCCAAATGCAGTTTTAATGGAAGACTTCCAAAATCAGATCAGTTGAAAAAAAAATTATTATGTCCATTATCATTGTAATTAAGATTCACAAAACCCAAAGTGGAGAAAGTTCATCTGAGAGTCTAGAGAAAAAGAGTTTACATAAATTTATATGACCCAATTATGTATTACTGGTAATTTAGTCCACAATTAGAAATATAAATTCAATAGTTTACAAAAGCAATAAATGCAGCCTGTTCTAAGAAGAGCACTGTGGATTTTACATGTACAAACATATATCCAGCTCTGTATATGGCTGTCAGAAAATAAGTTCTGATACGTAATTATCATACTTATTCTAGAAGTCTAAAGACATATTTTAAACCAAAAATCCACAATGGACAGAGATTATTTAATTCTGAAAACCTCAAACATCTTGAGTTAAAAAAGGACAACACTTGGGCTGGCCCAGTGGTGTAGCGGTTAAGTTCACCCACTCTGCTTTGGTGGCCCAGGGTTTGCAGGTTTGTAGCCCAGGCATGGACCTATGCACTGCTTATCAAGCCACGCTGTAGCTGCATCCCATATAAAGTAGAGGATGGGCACAGATGGTAGCCCAGGGCCAATCTTCCTCAGCAAAAAAGAGGAGGATTGTCAACAGATGTTAGCTCAGAGCTAATCTTCCTCAAAAAAAAAAAAAAAAAAAAGCAAAGCACAACACTCCTGGGGCCAGCCCGGCAGTGGCATAGTGGTTAAGTTCACACGCTCCGCTTTGGCGGTCCAAGGTTCACAGGCTCGGATCCCTGGTGCGGACCTACGCACCGCTCATCAAGCCATGCTGCAGCAGCATCCCACATACAAGATAGCGGAAGATGGGCACAGATGTTAGCTGAGGGCCAGTCTTCTTCACAAAATGAGGAAGACTGGCAGTGGATGTTAGCTCAGAGCCAGTCTTCCTCACAAAGAAAAAAAAAAAAGGACAACACTCCCAAATATCAAAACCCACACACCATGACATACATGATATTAGATCTTTCCTCCAAATCAGCACTGACTTGGCTTCAGATGATTCTAAGAATCTTCTGGATTTTTGATCTTTGATTATCTTAACAACTGAACTGCCTCTTCCCTGAAATACCCCCTCTCTTCCCTTTATTAAGTAAGGCTTTCCTCCCTCAAAGTGCTTCAAACTAATTTCTCAGGAACTGTTTCACAACTCAATTCCCTTCACGATCCCTCTGCATTATATACAGTTGTATAGTGTTTACATTAACATTATTCTTAAATCAGTTATATCTTATATACATTTTTGTTTACTCTTATAAATTCTAATCTCTTTGGCAAAAGGATCTGATTTTCCTTTCTTTAGCATTTCTTACAAATTACTTTCCATTAGAATGTGAAATCCACGAGGGCAGGAACTGTTTTGCTCACTACTATATAACCAAAATCAAACATAGCAGTAATTCAAATTTTACTGAATGAATGTATGAAATCTACGTATTCAAATATTATCACTAACTTACGCCATAAATTGTACTAATAAGAAACACTCTAAACTAGCTTCTCAAATATGAACTTTGAACATTAAGATGTGGAACATTTTCAAGGTTTTTCAAATTATTTTACAACTATAAACTATCTTTAGGGGAAAGATAAGACATAATGAAAATGATAAAATAATTTTTAAAAATCTAATGATAATTATGATTTCAATTTCTAATAACGCTTTCCTAAAGTCATTATTGTAAGAGCTTTGTTATCCAACGTATGTGAATTTTGAGGAGAGGGAGAACGGGAGAGTAGAGAAAAGAACCTAAGTTCTTTCAGTTAGTCAATTGCCATTAATTAAAGGCTAGCCATATAATAAGATACATGAATAATATGGGACAAGTAGGAAGTATTTTTCTTAACACAAATGGCAAAGTTCCTACTCTAAAGAAGGATATTAATAACAGTTTAATTTTATCTAGCCAATTGCAAGTTCTAAAAAACGTGTCTACTGGCTGCTTCTAGCTCCCCTATTAACAATGCTAGAAAAACAAACTGCATATACAGTGAGGCAAAAGAAGGTCCCAACCAAAAACAGGCACTAACCAGGTATTTGGAGCTCACAGGTAAGAGAAAAGGAAAATAATATCAGCAGCATTGGAACATCATTCATCCCAGGAATGGTTAAAGGTGGCAGATAAAAACTGATAATGCACATTCAATTTACATGAGATTTTTGTCACCTGATGGGAAGAGAGACAGATAGGAGCAAAAATATGGCTCATGGCCACTTTGGTGGCAGATTTAATATGTGGTATGGGCTACATTGACAGAAATGTTGGCTGGTGAACACAATGAAGATGAAGATAATTACAGCTGCTCTGGCAGAGAAAAAGTACAAGGAGGGAGGAAGGGAAGTTGGAGATTAACCAACTGAATGCTTAAAATAAGGTATTCCAAACTGATGCTGTGAAGAAGGATCTAGGTCCAAGACAGAAAAGAAATCTGTACAGAATGAGTTGTACGTTAGATCTTCAGAAGATGCTGAGTTTTCTTTTCTTCTCCAATCTTGTTTTTTAAAGGAATGAATTTCTTATTTATTGAAATTTATGGATACTTTATAACTAGTTATCTTTAAATGATTTAAGTAATACAAACCCCACCTCCTAAATATAAACAACAAATCTCAACCTGGGAAGTATGGAAAGACTTGAAAGGGTATTTGACCCTTGGAAAGTGTGTGTACAGTGTGTGTTTAAGAGAAAAAGAAAAACATTTATATTCTTCCATAGCTTTCAGATTCTCAAAGATATCTGTGACCAAAATCAACATAAAAAATCAAGTTGCATTTCTATACACCAACAACAAACAATCCAAGAACGAAATTAAGAAAATAATCCCATTTACAATAGCATCAAAAAGAATGAAATACTTTGCAGTAAATTTAACCAAGGAGGTAGAAGACCTATAAAATGAACACTACAAAACACTGCTGAAAGAAATGAAACAAGACACAAATAAATGGAAAAACATCCTACGATCATGGATTGGAAGACTTAATATTGTTAAAATGTCCATACTACCCAAAACAATCTACAAATCAAATGCAATCAATGGCATTTTTTGCAGAAATAGAAAAAAAATTCTAAAATTCATATGGAATCTCAAGGGATCCCGAATTGCCAAAACAATCTTGAAAAAGAAGAACAAAATTGAAGACCACACTCACACTTCCTGATTTTAAAACATATTACAAAGCTACAGTAATCAAAACAGTACAGTACTGTCATAAAGACAGAAACATAGACCAATGGAACAGAACAGGGAGTGCAGAATAAACCCTCGCATATATGGTTAAATGATCTTTTACAATAGTGCCAAACCACATAATGGGGAAACTACAAAATTTTCAACAAATGGCACCGGAAAAACCAGATACCCACATGCAAAAGAATGAATTTGGACCCTTAACTGACACTATGTATAAAAATTAACTCTAAATGGATTAAAGACCTAAACAAAAGCCATAAAACTATAAAAATGCTAGAAGAAAACATAAGGAAAAAGCTTCATAACACTGGATTTGGCAGTGATTTCTTGGATATGACACCAAAAGCCCAAGCAACAAAAGCAAAAGTAGACAAATGGGACTATATCAAACTTAAAAACTTCTCCACATTAAAAGAAACAATCAACAGAGCGAAAAGACAACCTATGGAATGGGAGAAAATAACTGCAAATCATATATGTGACAAGGGGTTAATAACCAGAATATACAAAGAACTCCTACAATTGAACAACCAAAAAAACAAGTAATCCGATTAAAAAATGGGCAAAAGACCTGAATAGACATTTCTCCAAAGATATACACATGGCCAACAAGTATATGAAAAGACGCTCAATATCACTAATCATTAGAGAAATGCAAGTCAAAACTATGATGAGATATTATCTCACACCCATTAGGATGGCCACTATCAAAAAAATAGAAAGTGTGGGGGAAATGGGTGAAAGTGATCAAAAGGTACAAACTTCTAGTTATAAAATAAATGAGTCATGGGGATGTAATGTACAGCATGGTGACTACAGTTAATAATACTGTATTGTATATTTGAAAGTTGCTAAGAGAGTAGACCTTAAAAGTTCTCAACACAAGAAAAAAAAATTTGTTAACTATGTGGTGATGAATGTCAACCAGACTTACTGTGCTGATCATTCGCAATACATATAAATATCAAAACACTATGTTGTATACCTGAAACTAATATAACGTTATATGTCAATTATATCTCAATTAAAATGATAATAATAATAAAAATAGAAAGGAACAAGTGTTTGCAAGGATGTGGAGAAATTGAAACCCTTGTGCATTGCTGGTGGGAAGATAATATGGTGCGGTAGCTATGGAATACAGTATGAAAGTTCCTCAAAAGACTAAAAATAGAATTAGCCTATTAACCAGCAATCCCACTTCCGGGTATATATCCAAAAGAACTGAAAACAAGATCTCAAAGAGATATTTGCACACCCATGTTCATTGCAGCATTATTCACAATAGCCAAGAGGTGGAATCAGCCCAAAATGTCCACTGACAGATCAATGGATAAAGAAAATGTGGTATATACATACAGTGGAATATTATTCAGCCATAAAAAGGAAGAAAATCCTGGCACACACTACAAGATGGATGAACCCTGAAGACATTTATGCTGAGTGAAATAAGCCAGTCACAAAAGGGACAAATACTGCGTGATTCCACTTATATGAGATATCTAGAGTATTCAAACTCATTGAAACAGAAAATACAATGGCAGTTGCCAAGTGGTGGGGCGAGGGGCAAATGGGGCATTGTCATTCCATGGGTATACAGTTTCAGTTTTGCAAGATGAAAAAGTTCTAGAGACCTGTTACACAACAATGTAAATATAGCTAACACTACTGAACCGTACATTTAAAAATGGTTAACAGGGTAAATCTTATAGTATATTTTTTCTCACAATTAAAAAAAAAGACTTTATGACCAAAACAAAGTTAAGAATCATTCTTCTACAAGACAAAAGTACAGTTATACATAGAAATTCACAAATTTTTGCTTTCAATAAATCAAGCATTAAAGAGACTAAAATTATTCATATTTAAATAGTTGCATGATCTCACCTGTAACTCTTGTGATTTACGAGCTTGTTCCTGCTTGATACTGTTAATCATACTTTCTTTCACCTCATCCAATATAGAGTATAAACTATCAAATTCTTCATCTAACTCTGAAAGTACGTTAGAAGAATTTTCCTGTTTAAGAAGGAAACAAAACATGATTTTACAAAAGAGCTGTCAAACATTATGACACCAAAAGATATACACTTATCAAAGGAGAGAATAAATTCATATTATAAACTATCTCAGTATTCTAACATCATAAAAATCAAAAAATTCTAATATTTGACATAAGGTTAAAATCAGATAAATCCAAGAAGCTCACTGTTAATGCTGATAGTACTATTTCAGCTATGCTATGAGTTTCGCAGCCTTTTATGGACTAGACCATACTCTTCACCTTTTAAAATACTGTTTCCACAGGACAGTGTGAAAGGTTGTTTTAAGGCTATGAACTCTGTCCAGACCCCCAGGCTCTAAGGCAGACCCTAAGCACCCTAAGGCACACCTAAGGTTCTCAACCTTTGGTGTGCATCAAAATCAACAGTGAAGCATTTTAATAAAATATTCCAGAGATTCTGATTCCATAACTCTGAGGAACAGTTTGGGCATATGGGGATGGGGCTGATTTTGCACAAATTTTAAAATCTTTCAGGTTGTCTAAAACACCGCATTTACAGAAGATAAACAGAACTTAAAAGACTAAGCAATTCCTTACTGGATCCTGAGTTTTATCAAACAGTGAATTTTAGTGCTAGAAGGAACCTCAGAAGTCATCTATTGACTAGAATTTGTAGTCAAAGTCCTAAATTTTATGAACTAAAATACACACGTAAGTGATGTGCCCAAACCATACAACTAGTCCCTAGTGGCAGAATCGATAAAGCATTTCAAGTCTGTTGACTTCCCAGAGTCCCTCATTGCCTCAGTAAGCAAGATGCTGCTATTTCAACAAGAAATAACTTAAAATATCTGCGAAATCCCTAAAAAAGCAATCTCCATACTTGTGGCAATTATGAGATAAAAGAAATTATCTTAAGGCGTTTTTCAACTTAGATGAATCATTCTATTAAGAGAAGCAAACTGACACTGGTAAAGAGAACTAATACGTACAATCTACTGTAATATAATCCAAACTTTTGCTTATAATGTTTATAAAAAACAGACATCATCTCACTGGAGTCTTACCAAAAGTGGTGTTAATAATCTTACTAGTTTATTTAGTGGTAAGAACAAGCTGTGGAAGAAAAAAGGTGCAGTCTGGAAGGCAGAAGACCTAAGCCAAATCCCACATTTACCACACAGAAAGTGTGACCCTGGACAAGCCAATTAAATTCCTGGACCTCAGTTTATTCATCTGTAAAAAAGGAGCTGAACTACTCTTTTTCCCTCAATAACCAATTGGCACATTCTTACGGTCTCTCGCGCACTACCTCTTATGCCCCAATCTTCAGCGACAAGGGTGTAGCTTAATTCCCCCTCTATTTTTTTTTCTGGATTCTAAGGTGGAGTTCTAATAATTTGTCTACCAGAAAAATGGTCTGGGCTAGCTCTATCTTAAGGTCTCTTTTTCCAGATGTCAAATGTCATGATTCTCTTGCCCACAGATCAAAAGTTTTAGAACCACTAGCTTTGCTTATTTAAAGAAAGTGGATTCATGTTTTCACCAAATTTTCCAAAGAAATAGTTAGAGAAAGACAGTTGAAGTGGTGAAGATCATAATCAACTAACTTCAATCACAGCAAATTCAGAAGTAAAGAAAATACAAAGACCATAAGGTTTAATAGACCAAGAACCAGGCAATTACTTAGGTTAAAACAAACAAAAACCACAGGGAAGGATTCACCGTCTACAAGTGTCCTACAAATCTTCTATGTTTATTTCACAAAGAAATGATCCTTAAATTCTTTAAGGCACATTCATGGGAAAGCATCCCCAGATTATCTTAAAGTCCCTTCCACAATCAACATTTGATTACTTACAGTTGGATTATCTGTCCAAACTTGGGACTATCTCCTTACATATTCTTCTCTCTCCTCATTGGGCACTTTACCTTTTACATCTATGTTTTACTTTTATCTAGTTCTACAAGCAGACCTCTTACCATCTACATTTTCCTTCCACTATTTACTGTAAAAGAAATGTTTAGCTCCCCAGTACCTTTGAAAAGGTACAATTTGCTCTTCACTGGAATTAGAAAAGACAAACACAAAATGGAAAGAGACAAAAGTGAGAATTATAATATTTCCTAGCAACTACTATTTCAGTTTTCTTTTTCTCTTACTATTTGATCTTTCCATGGATAATGAAGGAATAGCAGGAAAGCATATTTATCGATCTGCCATTTAAAAACCCTGCTCTCACCTCCATTAATCTATAATCTAATCAATCATCGTTGATGGAGTATATTTATACTTCTGATTTGACACAACAATCATTCATTGTGACATATTTACAGAAACTTTTTAAAAAAAGATTCATACCTGAACTCCTTTTAGTGTTTGGTTTAGTGTATCAATAAAGTTCTGAATTTCATCATTTTTATTTGCCAAAGTTGAAATGATCCTTTGCAGAGCTTCCTAGGATAAAAAACAAAAAATTAAATATTACAATATTTTAATAAAAGAGAATTACAAACTTCACAACAATTCTCTAAACAAACCCTTTATGTAAAAGTCTATTATATAATAAATAGGAACAATGGAAAGCTTCTCATTGTTCAGAATTTCCAAAGGCTAATAGTTACAAAACATGGGGTATGTATTTGTACTGCTTTAAAATCTCTTATTCCTATTACACAACTTAATCATAATTATACCTTTCACACTGAAGATGATCAATATTATTTAATATCGACAGTATTATTTTAGGTCATAAGGCCATGGCAAAGGAATAGAACCAAATCCTTAAACCCTGCAAAAACAAATGGAAGCTTCTAACACAACATCAAGATATGAGGAATAAATGCAAAGAGACACTGAAATTTTACATTTTATTTATTTATTAAAAAAACATTATATTTTAGAAACACAAAAGATGATAAGTTTGTAGCTAAAATTACAACATTCATTGCAAAGACAAGGGCAGAGGACTTAACAGTCTTCCAAGTATTCATATTTACAGATGCTATGGAACCATAATAAATAAGGTAAGTAATTTTAGTAGCAAATACCTCAGACTTTTTGATAATGCTTTCTATTTAAGTAAAACAGTTGGTTATTTAATTTTCTCATAATCTCTAGTTCAGTGTTGTCCAATAAAATTTTCTGTGATGATGGAAATGTCCTATATATGTGCCATACAATATGGTGGTCACTAGCCACATGAAGCTAATGGGCTCTTGAAGCATGGACAGAGCAGCTGAGGAACTAAATTTATTTATTTTTTACTTTAATTAATTTCACTTTTTATAGCCACATGTGACAAGTGCTGTCATATTGGACAGCACGGCTCTAGTTGTTTAATAATTCTTCATGGGTAGTAACAGCAAAATTCAAACAAGGTGCTTCTATTCTCAGTAAAAATGAAATGCAAGTACTTTTACCTTATAATTTTCCCAAAAGCACAAGTCTTGTTTCTGTAAGCACTTCAAGCATAAATATTGTAATAATTTCCCATAAGATTTTGTGTGATAAAGGTTCTCCTCAAAATAGAATCAGATATTGATAAAAGTCTATATATAAAGAGCTCAGGAAATAATCTGATAAAAGGATAACATTTTATATAAATGTTCATAAAGCTTTATTGTAGTGAAAAATTAAAAATAGTTACAACAGTTCTCATTTAATTCTCACAACAATCCCTGGAGATAAGTAGGTATTATCATCATCCCTGGGGCTGCCTAGGGATGTTCACTTATCTGTACTATTTCTTTCCATCCTCACTACTGATGGTATTTTAGTATAACACCACTATAAAGTTATGTTATGAAAGAAGACCGACACCAAGAGTTAGCTGTTTATCCTGTCGGTAGTCCTCCCAGAAACAGATGCACCAAGATTTGCACCTGGCAGAATGGAGCCAGGACTTGGGGGAGGGGTGGGCAATTGGAGGCACAAGTGGTAGTACAGAGATGTAGAAAAGGAGGGCAGAGGACTTAAGAGTCTTCCAAGTATTCATCCAAGAGAGGCTCTATATATATTTAAAAACAACACAATGGAACAGTTAAAAATGGTTCTGCACGATTCTCGGACTGTGTATAGTAAGCTTCAATTAAGACTGGGCTCTTTCTGGTTAATGGACTGTATCCGCCTCCCCTTCTATTCATCCTAACGGCAGGGTTACATCCGTATTGTACAGATAAGAAAATGGAGATTCAACCAGTTGCCCAAAGTAACACTGCTAGTAAGATAAAGATTACGTTCAGTCTATCTCCAAAGCCCATGTTCTTTACCACTTTAGAACGCTCTCTCTAATTCTAACCAATTTGCCCATCATATGAAATACCCATACAACAAATTATATATTCTTTTAAAAATGTGGTTTGCTAAGATTCTTCAATGACATATAAGCTGCTAGAATTTTCACAGTAGAGAATCACAGCTCGAGCTTAAGCTTTGTCCACTGCTAGGTATAACTAGTGAACTTCAATATTCTATCAGAACAGGAGTTGAAGAGTCTTCTGGGAAACATCTTATCCTACAAAAAGGAGGAGCCAGGCCCAATGAATTCAACCCAACAACAAAATTTCAATCACCAAGATATATGTGAATTCAATAAAAACTGAAGGAAATTCCACAAAAAAACTGTGAAACATTGGTATATAAAAAAAGGCAGATCTAGTTGAGAGCAGGAAAAAAATCTCCCTCGCACAAAATAGTTTTCCACTTTTACTTATTTTTTGTCTAAGTTTAGTAGCAAACTATATTGGTGGGATTTTGTGGCAAAAACTCTTTGGAGATAGCTGAAGGATAATGTCCCAGCTAGGTAAGCTCTAAGCTCCAAAAATTTTAATGAGAAGCCTCCTACCTTTTTTAAGCCCCTGCTATTTACTGAGTATAGTCCAAGACATCTAAATGCTCTAATTTTAGGTCTTCAAGCTAAACCCTTTATACCTTTAAGAGTTACCCACTTACTGAAAGTTAGCACTCTGTTCTTTTTTTTTTGTGAGGAAGATCAGCCCTGAGCTAACATCTGCCAATCCTCCTCTTTTTGCTGAGGAAGATTGGCCCTGGACTAACATCTGTGCCCATCTTCCTCTACTTTATATGGGACGCCGTCACAGCATGGCTTGACAAGCAGCACGTCGGTGCGAGCCCAGGATCCGAACAGGCCAACCCCGGGCCACTGCAGTAGAGCGCGCCCACTTAACTGATTGTGCCACCAGGCCGGCCCCCAGACTGTTCTAACAGTGATGTCAGAGGGCAAAATACTGCCTTTACCAACTGCAACATTCTCTTTCTCCTTAAAGCAGCACTGTTCAATAGAAATAGAGTGAGAGCCAATAGCAGCCACATCAAAAAAGTAAAAGAGAAACAGATGAAATTAATTTTAATATTTTACTTAACCCAACTGTCCCAAAATATTATCATTTCAACATGTAATCAATATTTAACAATTACTGAGTTCCTTCCTTCCTTTCTTTTTGGTACTAAGTCTTCAAAATCTAATGCGTATTTTACACTTAGAGCACATTGCAATTCAAATTAGTCACATTTCCAGTGCTCAATAACTACATGTGGCTAGAAGCTACCATACTGGACAACATAGCCTTAGAAACCTATACCACCCAAACACTCCACATATTTCCAAGTGTGGGGATAGGGCAAAGATCTTATATTGATCTGCTTAATTTGCAATTAATAATAACCTAAAAGATTTCTGAACTTGTTTCGTGGAATACCAGAATTTCTGTGTGTGCTCACGTTATGCCAGATTCTTGAATTATAATAGCTGAATGTGGATATAAGCTAAAATGTTACAACTAAGTTTCTTTACCAGAATTTCACTAATTTCTCAGTTTTTATTTATGTAAATATTACCTCTAGAAATGGAAAGGTAATATGATAACATCACCACCTCTCAAAAAAAATTGGAGCATCAGCAGCACTCTTTGGGGATCCCCGTAATACCATAATAAAGGGAGAAATATACTCTTCTTTCCCGTAAAACTTACACTGCCCATTGGTTTTGGTTAGAAAAGACTCTGGGGATCACAGCGTACAAACGTCCACGTCAAGGCTGGCATCTGACAAAAACAAGACTGCACCTGAGGACAGCTGACGTGTGAGTTATACAAACTTAAAGAACCATCAGGATAATGCCATCCTTGGGGAATGAGACTGTTCCATACCTCCAAGATATAATACTCTTAGATCACGGTTAATCTTATCTTGACCATTCCCCTTTAATTCATTCAAAATTCTGCTTATCACCAGAGAACGAAAAGTGACCCTTCTCAATTTGTATCAGCCCAAGAAGTACTAACAGCAATACTTCTGAAAAGAAATCCTACGATCTGTGTTAAAGCTTTTGGGGGACTGGTATTCTATATGAATTACCTAAGGCTTTAAAAGTACTACACTCCCCCAGAAAGTGGCTTTGGAGCCTCAGCATTTAAGGTCACCTATATTTTCACAGCTACCAAATGCATCAGTAAACATGGCTGCAGAAGAAGCAATCATCTGGATGACTAAGAGTCAGAACCCAAAGCAACCAATGTGACCTTGGTAACTAACGCAGATAAAGTGCTGCCTCTACCCTAAGCTATTGTGAGCTTAGAAGAAAAAAAGGGCGGTATCCTCAAAGTGTCCCAAGGGCAGGCTGCTGAGACAAGGGCTCCAGAAGCTCTGAAGCCACTTGCCCTTTACTCTGTCATTGTGGAGAGAATAAGCAAATGCAAAAGAGTGTAACCAAGAGCTCACATTTAGTATTCTACTACAGTGAGAGTTCATCAGGGAGGGCTGAGAAATAAATTAGGAAGGGGACCAGGGCTTCAACAACCCTGGCCCTCACAAGGACAGGGACTGGCTAGACCTAGGGTGGAAACGGCATGAAGATAAAAGAACTAAGAAATGTGGAGCTCCATAGAACTGGAAAACAAATTACAAGCAACCAAAATATTTAAGACAAACTACCACCAACACCAAAATTTATAAAAACTAAAGGATTAGGAGCCAACGCTGGTGGCCTAGTGGTTAGTTCGGTGCGCTCCGCTTCAGCGGCAAAGGTTCGATTCCGGTGCGCAGACCTACATCACTCTGCTCGCAGCCATGCTGTGCTGGTGGCCCACGTACTAAAAAAAAATAGAGGAAGATTGGCATAGATATTAACTCAGGGTAAATCTCCCTCAGGAAAAAAGAAAACTAAAGGATTAGGATTATGAGCTGAGTTCTGAAACTTAAACCTAGCTTGTGTATGTGACATGAAGCTCAAGTTTTCTCCAGGTGGTAGGAGTCAGGGAAGAGGTGTATACAGGGACAGTGTGTGCCTAATATAGGAGGTATGCAAGGGGAGGCTGGTTGAATAGGTACCAAATCCAGCAGAATTTTTAAAGTGTTTTCTAAATATGGCCGGCAACATGCCAGGGCAGGTAATCTATGTATTCTGTATTCAGAAACTTAGAGAAAGGGGCAGAAAA